TGTTATTGCACTGTAACTACAGTCTGTCAGGAGAACGAGAGATTGAATCAGAAAGAGAGTAGAACGCAAATATATATAAAGACAAGGAAAGGAGGAAGCAAAAAGTTGGAGAGAGAGATTCCTGTCACATGACTGACATCAATGTTGCCTGATGCATTGAACTCTATGGATTGAAGCGTCAGTTACAGTCTATCCCTTAAAGGGATACTCCACCCAAAAATGAAAATTCAGTCATCATTTACTCACCCTCAAGTTGTTGCAAACCTGTATGAGTTTCTTTCTTCTGCTGAACACAAAGGAAGATATTTTGAAGAACGATTGGAACCAAACAGTTGTTTGGCACCATTGACTTCCATAGTAGAAAAAAAAAATACTATGGAAGTCAATGGTGCCAAAGTTCCAATCGTTCTTCAAAATATCTTCCTTTGTGTTCAGCAGAAGAAAGAAACTCATATAGGTTTGCAACAACTTGAGGGTGAGCAAATGATGACAGAATTTTCATTTTTGGGTCGAGTATCCCTTTAATGCTGCCATGCATGCTAGTCAAGCTCTAAAACATGGAGGCCAAAGTTCAAACAATTTCAACTTTGACCCCATTACCAGCTGACCTTTTAAAGCGCAGTCAATAATTACCGTCAGTGACAGGCCCTGTGATTCATACATGCTTTTGGCTCTCTAATGAGGTCTTGTAGAGACCAAAGCAACCAATAATAATTATAATATAGATCTTGGACACCTAATATAACATGGCTGTATCCATCTTCTTCCGGTTTGGGGAACTTCCACTCAAAAAGTCTAAAACAAATAATTTCAAATCATATGGTTACTCTACAAATAATCCTTATCAGCCAGACTGAATTTGCTTCGTTTTATTTTCAGACGTCAGAAGAATACCGTAAGGCTTTCACTGATTGTTTACAGTTTAATGGAAGTTACTCCCATTATTTGCGCAGTTAATTTTTTTGTTTAACCATTTTGCCTCCACATTTCTTGTAAGGTGAGATGTATCAAATATGTATTTTTATTATAGAAATACATTGTATATAAAACGTCCAGTTGAAAAAAAAAACGTTTGTGTGAGAGAATAAAATAAATTTAAAAATGAAATGCGTAAAATAATTAAATGTATACATGAAGATCAGTCACAAGTGATATTTCTACTTTACTATATTTTTTTATATGTTCTATACTTTTAATTAATATGTAGCTTGCAAATAGAAATTTGGCGAATTACATGGCTTCTTTTGAAAGGTTGTCAATGGACAATTAAAAAAATATATATTATTATTATTATTATTTAATATTTTTACAATATCCACATCAATCAAAACAACCAACGTGTTGCACACAAACCAAAAACAAATAATAATAATAATGATAAATAAAAATAATAATATTAATAAAAAAATAAAAAAATGAGAACGAGGGGTAAAAGAGCAACAAAAAGATAGAGAATGATAGAGAAAATTGCTTTGACCAACCGAATGAAAAAATATAAAACAATTTGCTGTAATTGGGCTCTGACATGTTATCTTAGAGACGAGATATGTTGAGCTTTTGTAAACATGACAGTAGAAACAACACACGCACACATATACACATACACACATGCGGCACATGCATTTTTACCACACCTGCTTACTTGATGAAGGATGCACATATGGTCCACCACCCATCTCTCTCCCAGGGCTGCTGAACTCAGTTGCCTCCACTGTGTGCCTTCCCAGAATGCACTGCTTTGACACTTCAGCACACTTCAGAATTTGTCACTGCTTTCACAGTCCCTTTGCACCAAACCAGAACATATTTTTAGCTTCTATGTTGCCTTGTGTGCCCCTCCTGAGTCTCATTTTCAAACCTAGAACAGAAACTCTTTTTTTGCTTATAATTTTAGCATCTAAATTTGATTGACATTCTTAGCTTTTTTGTTTACTTGTCTCTACACATTTGCACAATATATTGCCAAGATGCATATGCAACTTTGATTGCGTACTCATGAACGCTACATGACAATGCCTGTTTAAAGGGTCATGAAACCAAAAAAAAAGTTCACGGAGACTGGGAGGGAGAAAGCACACCCTGTTTATTTTCTTTATTTTATAAAAGCACACTGTTTTGTTTCGATTGTAAGTGGACACATAAAAAAGTAGACATTTAACAGTTTATTTTTTAATATTTTAAAGTCTGTATGACCATAAATGACGGAGTATTTTAAGTCTATTTTGCTGCTATGTGAAAAAAATCCAGCAAAACGCGCCGGCGCGTTTGTCGACCCCAGAGGTTTAACAAAACTAAGGCAAGTAAAACGGTCAGGGTTACATTTTAGAGACACACACACCTCTGAAGCGATAGAAAAGTCCTCGGGACTTGGTACCGCATCACTCGCAAGACGCAACTTGGATTGGTGAACAAGGCCGAAGTCCACCATTCTCCAGTTCTCGAAGCTCTCTCTCGCTACAAAAATGCTTGCTACACACACATAGTTAGATTTGTCCGTGGTTGATGGCCAACCAACCACCCGCAGCCAGAGTCTAGCCTTGGCAGCATCGCGGGGAAAGATATGCAACGCACTGGAACTTTTACTATCTATCACAGTTTGACATGTCTGTCATTGGACAGATCCACGTGGTGTCATGAATAATTAAGAGACAGTGTCTTCTCATAGGATAAGAAAACTCAGTCTCATGAATAATTATGAGACACCGATGAGTCATCAAAGCACTCACAGTGCACTGCCACGTCACAGCCTGTGACGTGGACATGATGAAGATTTTAAACCGGAAGACAAAAATAGCGGAAAAAAAATAAAATGTAACCATTTCCCCCTACTATTGAATCTAACAGATGCTAACATTGTCTTCAATGGTGTTCAACAAACATACTTCTGTTAAAATCTCAGAAAATTGGGTTTAGGGTTTCATGAACCTTTAACCCTCTGGGGACCAGAGTGTTTTTGGGGCCCTTGGGATGTTTTGACATGCACTGACATTTGTGCTTTTTTCAGTTATTTATAAACATGTTAATGGCAAAGGTGTAAATTCACTCTATATAGCACAAACTTGGCTACCATGATGAGTGAGCAACATGTATGTACATGTTTGTATTTTTAATAGAATAATGTTTATGCGTGGTTATTGAAAAAAATAAAAATGAAAGTTGCTGAAATAAGACCACAAAACACATATTGATTATTTCTTCACAAGACTTTTGAAAATTGTATCACATAGCCTAGAATATTTGCTCCAAAACTATGTGAGAATCATCCTGACTACTCATTCAGATAAGTCAATAAAGTCTTTTACATTTTTAATGACGTGTTTTGTTAGAGAAAGCTTTATGCAGGAGGCGTGGTCTCTCATTAATATGTGTGGAATTTCACACCTGAGAAAGACAAAGACCCTCCCCATAATGGCCCTATTAGGTGCTATCAGGCCATATCATTACAGGAGCCTTGCACAAAGAATGAGGAGATTTAAAAAAGAATGGCTTTTAGATTGTTTGGATTTATATAAGGAAAATACAGGGTGCATAAGTCTGGACACTTCTATCACACACCCTTCACCATAAGGACATGGTTTTATTTCAGTTCAAAGTTCAAAGTTAGAGTTGGAAACATCTTGAAAAGAAAATTGTCTTTCTCCATAAATGTCTTAGTTTGATCATACATATTTCAAAGTTGAGGATTCATTATTTTGATATAGCTTGAACAAACACTATAACATCTTAGTTGATTAGTTTATTGACAAAACATACTATATATTATAACATACTAACATATGAGCAGAAACTCCTAAAAAAAGCTTATTTGATGTCTATTTTAGAGTAAAAACTTTATCCAAAACCAGTCAACGAAATGTTATTTAGTCTGTAACAGTGCGTATCTGTGCGTTCATTCATTCATTCACACACACACACACACACACACACACACACAAACATGATTCACATTTAACAGTACGCTATTTTTCCGTTTACAGACACTACGTTATTCTATAACGCGATTAGAACAAAGCACTTGCAAAAAACACTTACTTCTCAGCTGAATCTGTTCGTCCTCGCAGTGAAAATAAACCCAGTGGTAAATGTCCCAGGATTGTTCCTCATATAGCCGCGCAAGACGACAGTAGATTAATCTGACTAAAAAATAATGTGTGTTTTCAGAGTTTATGGGCGTTAACGCGTCTCAATGTGTTGCTTCACATATTTGCGTTTGAATAGCGCGTGCTCTCCGTGGGCGTGTCACATTACCAGGGATAATCAGCTGAGAGAACGATAATGAGACGGGCTGACACGTCTCTCTTTTTATATAGATGACATAAACGGAGAATATTAATTTTAGTTTTGAATCGGATCATTTAAAAGTACAAACTCAAACGATTTAAAAGATATATTGCTTATGGCTGGGTGAATAGTATTAGCTGAGTTGTGTTGAAGATTAGAGACGTGCTCCAGAAAAAAAGTTCACGGTGACCGAGAGGCAGAACGCACACCCTGTTTATTTTCTTTATTTTACAAAAGCACAATATTTTATTTCGATTGTATGTGGGCACATAAAAAAGTAGACATTTAACAGATTATTTTCACATATTTCTTAACTCTATATGAACAGAAATGATGGTAGTACTTTAAGTCTATTTTTCTGCTATGTGAAAAAAAACGAGCAAAACGCGCCCGCGCGTTTCTGGTCCCCAGAGGGTTAAGCCACATCAGAACCTTAAAATATATTTGTTACAACTGCAAGAGCTGCAAAGTGTCCATTTAGCATTTTAGCCATTTCAAAACCTAGAATAGACATTTTTACTGTTCAAAAGTGGGAAAACATATATTATTCCAATATTTACCTATTGAGTACAATTAATACAGATGAGATGATTATTAAAAAAAAAAACAATTTTGGCCAATATTGATACAGCCACAATATATTCTAATCCAAAGGATAAGTTTGTTAACTAAAATTAAATACACTGACAAATTAATTTATATATGCTTTTCTCAAATAGGAAAAGGGGACCTGATCGGCTCGGACTCGCTGACAAAAGAGAAGGTGATCAAGACCAACGCAAACGTGAAAGCACTGACATATTGCGACCTGCAGTACATCAGCCTGAAAGGACTGCGAGAGGTGCTGCGCCTCTATCCTGAATACGCCCAGAAATTTGTCAGCGAAATTCAGCACGATCTCACCTATAACCTGCGGGAGGGCAGTGGAGCTGACGTGAGTGATGCTTGCAAGCACACATGACGGTATTCGGGGCAAAGGGCGACAATGCTTCGATTCTACATATATGACTGTAAAGGTCAAGGAGTGTGTGCATACAATAGAGCTTTTTTTAGCCTGAATCATGTGCATGAGGGACTGAGGAAATTACCTCGAAAGTACAGGTCAGGAGTCGATACATCGCCTCTGATTGGACTATCAATATTGTACAGTTGTACTGTGGAGCTGATATGAGTCCTATAAATAGTGCATCATTCAAATAGACAAACATAATACAGTCACCTTCATGAACATGTATTATGGTTCATATTCTCAGCTATTCAGTTTTGCTTCAGATTTCTATCATAAAATAGAAACACTTTATATAATAAGAATATAGAGCTATAAATAGGGATGTATAAATGAATAATTGTCATCATTTACTCACCCTCATGTTGTTCCAAACTTGTACGACTTTATCTAATACAGAATATAAAGAAATGTTTTTTTTTGTCCAATACAATGGAAATCAGTGGTAACCATAACAGTTTGGTTACGGATATTTATCAAAATTGCTTTCTGCAAAAGAGAGTAATACAGGTTTGGAACGACATGAGGTTGAGTAAAGGATAATACAAATTTCATATTTGGGTGAACGATTCTTTAAATTTAGATGGTATATCTCAGATAAACTGGTCTTGGAGGAATTTGATGAGAAATGTTTGAGTTCATAATGTGATCTCTGACTTTTGATTGCAGAATTTGGTATCTTGACAAATTTGAGCAGTTTGAGACTGTTTCTTATAGAGAAAAATTCAAGATTGTTTTTGTTTTTTTGTCTCTGGATAACAAAATCTGATAAGCAAGAGACTTCTTACATTAGAAGTGTTTCTTACATTAGAGAATATAATTCCATTGCTGATAAATATTAAGGTGACTCATGAACAGACAATTTTGCTAAATGACAGTGATTAGCAGAGGTAGAGTCTAGAACTGTCTCTCTTGTTTCTGTACTCCTGTATTTGGTGTTGTTTGATAAACACCATAGCGGATACAAAAATCTCAATGGCTGTTTCATAGTGTAAAGACTGTTTGACTTCATGTCAAACGAATTAGAAAGAGAAAGTTGCACGGCGTTGCTTTGTGTACCATAGTAACCGGGGTAACCGCTGTATTTCTGCTTGTCTATAGACCTCATGCACATTAGAAACAAGCACGCAGCCATCTTTAGAATATTGTCTTTGAACTTCCGTTTTTGCGGTCGCTCTGTATATTTCTATGGCATTGCTGTCCAGGAGTAATTAGCTTTTGAAGTGGATTTACTTAATGTAAAGTTAACGAAAGTTATCATGAGGATTGTAATGTATAAAGCAGATGTCTTGAGAAATGTCAGTAGACCGGGAAGATTTTTAAACGAGCCGTTCATTCATAAATACGTAAGATCGCTGTGAAAATACAGACCGGAAGACAAAAGACAACGAGCGCAGCGCTGAAAAGGGGCGGGGCTACATAAGGTCTATAGACTCGTTTTAAAATCTTGCCGGTCTACTGACATTTTGTCAAGACATCTGCTTTAAAAATTACAATCCTCATGATAACTTTCATTAACTTTACAATAAGTAAATCCACTTCTCCAGTTAATTACTCCTCGACTGCTATGCCATAGAAATATACAGAGCGACCGAAAAAATTTAAGTTCAAAGACAATATTCTAAAGATGGCTGCGCGCTTGTTTCTCTAGTGCTTAAAGGGGTCATAGAATAAGAATTCAAATGTTCCTTGATCCTTTGACAGTTGAGAGTTCGTTATACTATAAAAATACACTGTAAGTTTCAAAACTCAAAACTTTCTTGTTATTCCAAAAACTGCTTTTATTGAAACCAAGGCCAGCAAATGACAGGATCTAAAAAGTGGAGACTTGTGACGTCACACTTTGGCTTTGGCCCCGCCCACTGTATCAAAATATCGTTCAATACTGTTTATGCATCAGTAAATCAAGCCAGTGACTAAACAATTAACTTCACGTCGTTTCTCTTAGTAGGATGAAAATAATCCTATTTAAACTGTGATTAAATTATATAAAGAAAGCGATCAAACAACGCTCCCTTTCCAATTGCCCAAGCTGTAAATCACACATCGCGAGTTTATCTGGACACTTGCCAAAACTCGTTGAAATCAATCATCACAAAATCATGATGCTGTTACAATGTACAGTACATAGATGCTCTTACTGTATTTGCATCGTGTTTGTAATTTTGGTGAAAGCCAGAGGTGTAATTTCCTTTGTGATCAACAGACTGTCTGTCATCTGCTCAATGTTCATCACTGCAAAGTAAAAGTTTTAGAGAGAGTTCCACATATAATGCTAGCTATTTCATATGCAAACGTGTCAGCCAATCACAGTAGTGGGCGTTTACACTGAAGTCTCACAGCAGACACATCCCTTAAAACAGAGCGTTCAAATCAGAGGCTAAAATCAGGCTTGGAAAAATGCCTTTTATTTATAAATTATGACAATTTTTGATGTTAAAGCTGCCGTCGGCAACATTTTTTGATCATATTCAGTGAAATCGACACTATAATCCGACAGAACAACATAAAGTGGTTTTAGAAAAAACCCCGAGCTTCTAACTCCACCTGGAGCGTGTTATTTGTTTTGCAAAAATCCACAGCTCCCGGATCATCGGCTCCAATCAGCGCAGGGGGGTGTGAGATCTGACTGTCAATCACAGATCGGGCACACGCCACCCCTCGCGCACGTTACAATCACATGCACACGCCGGAAGTTCGCGCAGTAATGAAGAGTGATGGCGGATGTACCTCGCTTTCAAAACACTAACAAATCAAGTAAGCTCATTTAGAGTATAAATGATGTTAGCAATTGCAATCTATCGGTAGATTAGCCAGGGCAGCATACCTCCAAATACTCCATGGTGTTGATGGATGCTGATGAGACGGGCGCGTTCACAGATAACCTGGTGCACACGCACTGACGAGCATGAACTCGGTGGGAGGGTATCCGTTGATAGTGGGGGAGGGGCATGAGAGTTGTAAACATTCAAAATTTTGCCTAAGTCCACTCAATCTGCCAGACTTGCCGACTGCAGCTTTAAAATCATACTAACATTATAAGGGCACCCCAGGAAACATTATAAAATAATCCAGGCTATGACCCCTTTAAGGTCTATAAGCATCACCTACAATCAGAGACTAGCATATTCATTCAGACCGCCTGCTATTTTTTATGCATTGTTCTGAACAGACAAATCTCATGCGAAAATCTGAATTTTCAGGCAGAACATTTGTGTTGGTGTGAACAAGTCACTCATGAAAAAACAACAACATTTGAAATATGAATAAAAATGCAAAAAAAAAAAAAAATTCCACTTCCACAAGCCCAGTTGACCATAGTGATTTTATGCATGTAGAGTGCAGAGTTACTCAATGAATTCAAGAGCCGTGACATACAGACTGGAGGTATGTGTGTGTAACGCTGCATTACCCACATCCACAACCAGCAGAATACAAAATGGTTCCCCATCTGCTGTCTTTGGCATCTTTCCTTTTTTTGGCACATTCTTTAAGTCAGTGTCCTTTCCCTGACTTGGATAAAGCCGCTACCCCCCTCATCTTCAGGATGCACATGTATGCCTGTGCACGAGACCCCTCTCATGTGCCCTCACACACACACACACGTTTTCCCAGCCTTGAGTGTAACTTGCAAGGACAGGAATAGCAGCAGGCTGCGGTTTGGAGTGTGTGCTGATACTAAGAATAGCACAGAGGGAAGGCGGGGACTCCGTGTTGGCTGGGTCCCCTACGCCTCGAGCTAAGATTGGATCCTGGCAGATAAAAATAGCTCTGAAGCGAGAGGCACGGGGCGGGGGGAGAGGTGCCTCATTTCTCTCCTTTTCACTTTTTTCTGCAGTGCTGCTTCTGCAAGGTGTCACATGTAGAAAGATATCGCTGTGTTTGAGGAGAGAAAGAGGGAGATCAAGTAAGAAAGAAAAGAGAAATTCATTACTGTTGGTTGGTGGAGTGGCCAGTAAATATACTGTATAAAAGATACTTCAACCTTACCTCAAATTACCTACCTCAAATCGTGCGGGTTGTTGGCAAGAGGTGTTCGGTCGGATATACAGTTTTCACCAAGCAATATAAAGGGACTTTGACCTAAAAGACCAGCGACAACACCCTAGCAGCTGCATAACAATGCGCTAAATGCTTCTCAGAACACCTTAGCAACCGCATAGAAATGCCCGGCAACCAGCAACAATAGCTTAACATCTTGGCAGTAATTTCGCATAAGCAGTCACTTCATTTCCATCAGAAAATGTAAAAATCAAGTTTGTTTGTGCCATGACACATAACGGATCAGCATCGATGCTCATTTCACGTGTGCAACCCCAGAATACACACAGAATACCAATGAACACACTCTCACACATACATTTCCACAATTGCAGAGCTGATGAGAATAGAAGTGTGATTATTGGGGAAGCATCCCTATTACTATCTCTGTGTGTGCGTGTGCATGTTCTTTTAGGCTATATATGGTTTATGAGGACACAAATGTGTATCATCATGACATGGGTATTACAATATAAACATGGATTCTTCCTATGTCCTCGTATACCAAATAGCTTTAAAAAAAACAATCTAAATGGTGTTTTTTAAATTATTATTCAAAAAATGCCAAAGGTTTTCTGTGATGGGTAGGTTTAGTGTAGGGCATTGAATATGCAGTTTGTACAGTATAAAAACCATTACCCCTATGGAGAGTCCCCATAAACCACATATATAAGTGTGTGTGTGCAGTAGGGCTTTGGAGGAGAAAGGTAATGCATTATTTCCTCTCACTCTGGTTATACTTAGCCGTGATTGACTGAATTTGGTGACTCGAGGGACATGGAAATGCCTAATTATAAACACCTTCTCCTTCTGTCTCTCTGGAGAAGGGGAGGGAAAGAAAGTGAAAACTTCTGTAGAAACCAATTTAAGCATCTTACACACATGCACAGACTCCTCATGTGCCACTGGGGGCTGTGTTACTAAGATTGGAAGGAGATGGCTAAAAATAAACTCTGCTTTAGGTGGGGTGTGGGACTGCAGACGGAGCGTGGGGGTGGAGATCAAGAGAGGAACGGGGAAAAAAAACAAGATACGAAAAAAGAGAGAGGCAGGGTGTGGAGAACGGAAGGGGGGTTGCGGATAAAGATGGAGAGACTTCAGTCAAAGTGATTGGGGGAGAACAAACGAAGGGATGGGAAGAAAGGGACGGGGGAGACGAATTGAACCATGTTAATTTGAATTAAGATAAGCTTGAATTTTGTTATTTTTCAGCCTCTTTCCTCCCTGGATATGTGATGAAGTAGTTAGCAATGCAGGGATGAGGACTGTGTGTGTTGCCATCCAATAGCGAAGGACGGTGATTGACACAATCTTTTATGTGTTTTGACAAAACAAAAATAAACAGTGCCGCCTCCCCTCTCTGCAACCTCTTTTGCGGTGCCGCAGGATACCACTGCTTGCAGTCATCCTTTTTATGACATTCTAAGAACATGCAGTGCTGAGAGAGTTTAACAACGAAGAAATCGAAATCAATTTCAGCTTCTATAAAGAAGAATGTTTTTCTGGGGGGAAACCAATTGAGGTTCCTTAGTCTAGTACAATGGAAAAATCTGCAGAGTTGAGCTAGAGGTTGAGAAACATGTAAGAGAGGGAGAGAAGGACAAGAATAATCAACAGGCTGTGTTATTCTGCCACGCACTGGTCATGACACTTTACTACCCATTTGAAAATAATTTTTATAATTACATGCTATTGAGGACCAAGACTGGTTTTATAAAAAATAAATTGTTCTTTAATAACTATATTTGACTATTCAAATGGAAATATTAGTGCTTGCAAAGCATCTGTAGAATGGTGTTAATGTTGGAGGTAACAGGGTCGACACAATGGCACAGCATTATGGCAGTGTAAGTGATTATATATGTCTAAATAGATACAAATACATGCAAGAGAGAGAGCCAATCACTATTCGGTATGCAAATATTACAGTGACAGTGTTTTACATTTTGTTAATGCAAGACTAAGAATGGACGTTTTTTAAACTGTAATATACATACACTACCGTTCATGTTTTTGAAAGAAATCTTATGCTCACCCAGGCTGAATTTATTTGATCGAAAGCAGTAATAGCGTTCCTTTGAATTACTTTGATTCCTGCGTATAATTTATTCCTGTGTTGACAAAGCTGAATTTTCAGCAGTCATTACTAGTCTTCAGTGTCACATGATCCTTCAGAAATCATGCTTATATGTTGATTTGCATTGATTTGAAACAGAAACTTTTTATAACATTATAAATGTCTTGACTGTCACTTTTGATTAATATAATGTGACCTCGCAGAAAATTGTGCAAAAGAAAAAAAAACAGATTGGAACATAAATACAGTGCTGCCTCACAAATACTAAAGTAAAGTGCTATCACCCAAGCTCTAATCATAAAACTCACTTCTGCTGGTCAAAGACGTGTATCCACTGCATTATAGACAACAGCATTATTAATCCTGCTCTGTCTCTCTCAGCTGGACTGGGAAAGCAACGGTGGTCTGGTGAAGAAACTTCCTGCTATCCGTGAGGACGAGGAGAATGATGAAGAGCAGAACTCAGTGTCAAGAGCCCCACGGTCTCCTCTTCGCCTAACCCGGGGTCTCAACTCCCCACTGCGATCGCCACTCCTCCCCCCTCGCCCCTTCCGCCCTCCATCAGACCACACGCGACCCGCCACCCTCCAGATACCTGTGGTCAGTTTCAGCAGCGCCGCTCCAGAACTCAGCCCCAGGTACACATATCACATCACATCCTCAATGAGCTATTGCCCTCTGGTGGCTCTCATAAGAACTTTATATAATCATTCAATTTAGAAGAAGTATCCAGCTACCATGGCAACCAGTTTTGGTGGAATTGCTGCTTGCTCTAGTGATTGGCTCTTCAATTTCACACTAAGAAATCAAAGCTTACCTAAAGCTGCAATTTAGTGAGCTGAAACCAAAGGATTCCATTTCTATATAGGCATTTTATATGTAGACATTGATATGATCATGCATTTAACTAAACTGCTTAAATCTCTTGCCAGTCCTGGATCTGCTGCACGTGAACAACAGTGGATTTGTTTTTTCTAATGTCTCTGCAGGTTTGTGGATGGTATAGAGACAGAAAGCAATTCCAGCTCAACACAAAGGTTTGAGTTCGGTCCCAGCCTACCTCAGAGCGGCCCCCCGTCCCCATCCCCTTCCCCAGGTACAAACACATCTACAAGACAGAATGCGATTTCTGGAAGGAAATATTGTGAAGTGATATTTCCAAAAATAGACTGTCTTGCACAGTCAGACTTATTCTGCAGCTTATTCTGGCCAAGAACCGCCCACTTAGACAGGAAGGGACCATCTGACCAATATGTAAAGCTGCCAACTCTTTTTTTTAACACATCCACAGGGGTGGTACATCTGAAATTGGATATAAACCTCAAAGCAAAGCAGAATATTTTGTTGCACAGGGATATATATCAGCTATTAATTCTTCCTCAGAATCCATTGTAACAGCATGGGAAATTTACAAACAACTTTAATTCTGGGGCACCCTGACTCAGGCCCTGTTTACACCTGGGGCCTCATTCATTTATAACCGTTGTGTACGCACAAAACAGGCCCTGAATGAGGTGTACGCCACTTCCGACGCACAAGTTGTGATTTATAAAAACATACTTAACGGGAAAATTTGCGCACCTGCACGCAAACTCTGACCCATGCGTACGAACGTTTTGGGGACGGAGCAGTTTGGCGACACTGATGGTGAGCTGGAGTTAAATGTCTTTTTGGTTACTTTTAGACAAAATCTAAAGAAAATCATACATATACAGAAAGATAATACAAATATAATTTCACTCACTTGAAGCCTATCACTTGAAGCAAATATCCATAAAATGTCCGCGCCAGCGAGCACGTTGTGCCGTTTAGTGAAACTGACGCATATATATCTAACGGCAGATGAAGTAAAACCCTAACCCTAAAACCGTAAATCTTCATTATGAGTCCTAATCATAAATACAGTGCATGTTCACAATAACAGTTTAAATAAATAAAAGAATGATTCAAACTATGGTTTACTTCTGATATAAACATTTAGATTAAATATGCCATTCTCATTAATGGTGTAACAATCGGCCTAATCGGTAGAGTTACATGAGATAAAAATGGGGTCAGATTAAACTGTGAGAGTATGGGAAGTGTTTTTTTAAAAGATGAGACGACAACAGAAATAAAGTGAATAAATGAAGTGTATTTACAATTTCTACCAGGCACTTAAAACAACACAATACAAAGAAACCCTAGGCTGTTAAAAGCATAAAGTCCATACCCTAAAACAGTCCTTAAGAGTCCTTGCATGCTGTAAGTCCCAATGTGTAAGTTTCCACCAGTGTATATACAATCCAACTGTAGTGATAATCCGATGAAAAGTGATGGGGTTTGCTGGAATGGTAAGTCCTTAAAACAACTCCTCGTTCCAGCTTTGGTCGTCTTGACAGAGACCTTGTTTCTTTGCCATGCTGCTTCATTTATCCTGGCTATTTGCTGTTTCCTGTCATGTGATCAGTCACATGACAGGCAGACCCAGTATGGATAAAAGACATACACACATTAAAACAGATAAGAGGAATAAAATGGACTAAAATGACTAAGACAACATGTAAACCAATTAAAACTCTAATATACATACAATCATAATATATAGAGTGGTTAAAACATGTGTCATGTGTGACAGTGTCACAATGGAGTTAAACACTTAAACTACATGAAATCATTACTGAGAAGTTACAACATTTTTTAAATTCAATAAATGGAAATATTTGTTGTAGGTGCTATGCTTTTGAATACTTTTCCTCTGGCATGCTGTGTTTTAATGTTTTAACTACAGAGAGAATTGCTTATCTTGATAATAGCAGATTGTCTGAGAAAATAGTTTTGTGCAAATAATGCACAACAAGGTCTATCTGTTTCCATTAAAAATATAAATCGATTAAAAATACTATTTGGCCAGTGGAAAAGATTGAGAAAAACTTTCTCTGTAATGTATTTTATACTATTTGATTTATTTATACAAAAACGAAGCGAGGATAGGCTACTAAATGATTTTTATTAATGTAATGTGACGGCACATCCATATCTCAAATTTTCCTAATGTGTTGTACAATTAAACATGTTATCAAGTGGATGAATAATCATATGTAAATGACAATTTCGGGGTGGAGATGCATGTGCGCACATTCTTCCACTGACTGGGATTTATAAAGTAAATTCTGCGCAGGTTCTGACGTACGCACGGTTTTATGAGTCTGAATATTTTTTGCATACGCCATTTTTGGCTTTCGGGCAGATGTACACTTTTAGTAAGGATCCTACACAGTTTTATAAATGAGACCCCTGGTGTTTTAAATTAGTCTCTTTTGTCCACTGTCAACCACTTCTGTCGTGATTTCTTCTAGGGGAGGGTCTATGGGCAGGTAAAAGTATGGGTTTTTGCTAATGGACAAAATAAGCTCACACAATTTACACATAAACGTGCCTGCTTTCGTTACTGCTCTGATAGCCGCAAGACCACGGCGGACACAGTGAGTGCGAGTTAGAAATCAGGAATGTTGAGAGAACATTGTGCTTGGTATGTTTTTTTTTTGTCTTCAAACCAAACTTGGGTCTCCAGCCCACAAAGTTTAAATCCCATCTGGCTAGCACACTTCCCATAATGTTTACGCGTTAGATCAGTTGGCGGTCTTTTTTTCTTGGCTGTTTGAAAACTACGAAAGCGTCTACACTACGAAAGCAATCTGGTCGAATGCGTTTTCGACTACCTCTGGGAGTGGTTGAAAGTGGACAAGGTCCTGGAAACTCCTGTATTTAGTGTCGTCCACTTGTGATCTGATCGACCAAAACGCATCTTAATACCAGGTGTAAACAGGGCCTCAGAGAAATGACAAAGTCAGACAATCAGATTGCAGCTCTTACCAGTTTCGTGTGTAGTATGCGTGAGATGGTCAGAAAATGGTCCGTGTTACAGTGAACTTTTCTTCATCCATCCAATCCTCTCACTCTCTCACCTTAAAATATGCTTAATCTCTACAACAAACTCAATATATGAAAAAATCTAAACTTACCCCGTTTTGTGTGCAGTGAACCAGGAGCAGCTGGAGACCAAGCAGAGCATCACCAAACTGAGCGAGGAGGTAATTGAATCAAGCACATTGAATCAAAATAAATCAAATTACATTCAACAAATATAAAACATTTTTAAACATAAAATATGTTTAAAATGATTGCACAGCTAGTAGAGAACAGCTCATTTGAATCAGAGTATTGGCCTGAGTAGTCAGAGACCTGAAGAAGGCCTGAATGATTTATTTTGAGACCGCAGAGAGATATGAGAGACATGCAACTAGCAAAGCTATAAAGAAATTGTTGCGATTGACCAATCAGAACCACTCTGTTGTTTAATGTAGTTTATTCGAACTGTTGGTGCATTAATATTGAACTGAACTGATGTGTGGGAACAGCTTTGAATGAAGAACATCCAATCAGATTTTGTAGCCAGAACTATCTCTTCCATAGCTCACATTCCACTGATCTCATTCACAGATGACTAGTCTATCCCAGCAAGTCTCTCAGCTGAGCAAAGAGCTACAGGAAATGACACGTCTCCTCCGGCCCTGGCTTGTCATTGGATCTCAACCCCTCCTAACAGCCATCAGTCCAACGATACCTCCGTCTCCCAGCAGTAGCAGTGGTCCAACAATATCCACACCACCATCTCCTTCGCCCACAGCCCCACTGTCTGCACAACTCAGGCCTACATGCTTACTATTGGACAGCGCAGAAACTGGAAGCATTGGCTTGCCCAGCTGCCTCATACCCACCAGCCCACCTCAGAGACACCAAGCACATGCTCAGGTGTTTCCGGCAGGCTGTTTGAGGGGACCTTCCCTGCCAGTTCTCCTTTCTCCAGTGACAGCCCAAACGGAGGGGCCAGGCGGCCAGGTAGCTCCGACCCAGCCACCGCAGACCAGTCACCCCTCAAATCCATCTCTAAGCTTTTCTTCCTCGATTCCTACTGTCCGCTCCCAGTCTACTTCCTGCTCTCCCTGCCAGGGGCCTCACCGACCTGCCAGTCACAGCAGAGGTTTCCTACCTAGACCCCCCTCACAGGACACCCCACCTCCACCACCCTCTCATTGCTCAGCACCACCCTCGATCAATAACTCCCCTGGCGACCACAGGCTGGGGATCAACCCATTTCCCTCGTCGCCTTCCTCTGCTGACACCACTCCTCGGATTCAGCCACGGTCATGCACTCCTCCTTGTTCACACACCCCCCCACCCTTGCCCTGCTCCCTGCCAGAAACCCAGGCCTCTTTTGGGACTTCCTGGTCCCCGCAGAACCCCAGGTCGGGACCTCCTCAGTTAGAGTTTGAGATGCAAGAGTGGGCAGCAGGAGGGAGGCCTACCACAGAGCATATCAGCTTCATAGATGAAGAGGGACCGCCACTGTGAGTGACTGAAAGATGAATACTACAACTAGTTGACTTAGCAAATAATGGAGTGATGAACTGGGCCAACAGCAATGACCCCAACACACCTACATTCTGAATAACAGACAACACTGATTGCTGTTTCTACAGGATGACACTCGTAATTGGACAAATTGTGGATCTGTTCCAAACCCTCGTGAGCTGCCTAGCTAGACAGCATTTTTAGCCATCATGTGCATGACACTTACACCTTTTCCAAATAGTAGACAGCTAAAATGATGTGGTTTTGTAAGGATTTTGGCCAAAATCTAAGTCACCATTGCATTTATGCATCATGGATAAGATATCTCAGAATGTATTGTGAATCAGTAAAAAAAGTTTCATCCGGGATGGTCCCAATTGTTACATCAAACAAAACCACACAAGAGTTCATGTCATGGTGTAAATGCCATACTTGCGAGATGACAACCCAGACGTTCTACTTGGAGCTATTCATGTCCTCTAATTCACACTAAAATAAATGTGCAATTTGAGTAATCATTAGACAAAACTACAACAGTAAGTAACAATCGTTATGTAATAGCTTAAAGTTTAATTAGCAGGACTTTAGATAGTTACACTATTCAGATAATAATTACATCATTAAGACATAAACAATAAGCAATTTTAACGATTCATTTTACTGCTGAAGCCAATGGCATTCCGAGTGTTTCCGCATGACGTTGCAGCGGTCATGTGGTACAAGTTGGAGCTTTCAGAAAATTCTGTGAATTTTGTAATTATCAGGCCTGAGGACGTGAGCGCTTTTTTACATCCCGCAATTATGGTATTTCAAACACGGCAGGAACACATTTATTCACATTGACTCCAACACAGGCTAAGTTTAATATGCTGCTAAGCTAATGCAAACTGAACTTTAACAATGAAAATCCCATCTAATTATATATTAACAATGTTTAGCCTAATACTGTGTACTGTGTATTTTTGCGCTAAGAGAATTGAGTCAGCAATTAGCATTAGCTTAGCAACATGATAACGTCTAAGTCTCTAGTGCGGTTATGTGGTCAGGCAAAGAGACGAGCTGTTTTTCCAGCAAGGATAGATGCTACCAATGAAAAATGTCAGAATACAGTGAGGCAGCTCACTATGATTTGAAACAGCACCTCAGTACTTGATACCAGCCAATCACTCTCCTCCGAGCACAACTTCATGACGTTTTTCTTCTAAAGGCTTTATAGGGCCTTCACAGGCACCATAGACATCACAGAGCATGGTGACCCAAACTGCGAGCATCCCGCAGCGGTCATAGAAACCTTGCTATGGGAATTTAATATAACATAAGTGAAAGTGCACTGATAAACTTGCATGTCTGTGCACTAATCATGCACAGAATACAGCAATTGTCAGGTGGTGTTTCTTATCTCTGTATTACCAAAATAAAGTTTTTACTCTAAGAATTTCCCACCTTATGAAACAAGTTTATATTTAAATTTTCAGACTTGGTAAATGAATGAAGCTGTCACATTATCACCATAATAATTCATTTGTTTCCTCCAGACTGTCTTAGGCCAGTTAACACATTCAGTAGCCAGAACCGTGAGTTGCATATTTAGTCAGAATGAAGACCTTGGGAGATGCATTTTCTCCACTTCTGAAAAATGATCAAGTTTGGTCAGTTTATAGATTTCTTCATTATATTCAGTCAAAAAAAAAAAGGTATGATTTAGAGTAAGCAGAAAGTGTAATACTTTGCTCACACGCACATATATACAACCAGTGTCTAAAATTATGTGGTAAATGCTATAAATATTTTTTTTACCAGCCATGAAACTATATTTTACATTATTTACTTAAAAAGTATATATATATAATTCTCTATCACAGTGGATTTATTTAGCCATTTGTCCCTTGAATAGTTGGAGCAATTAGCGCAGGACATTGTGTTGTTCAAGGCATCACATTTAAGCCAAACTCTCGTGAAACGCCACCCATATGTTGCCCACAAGAAAAAAAAGGAGAAAAAAAAAAAAACCTTGCCTTGTTTCATTTCAGTGGTATAAATGTCACAAGTGTGCCACCTCATTTCTGGAGCTATGACAATAAATAAATTAATAATAATAATAAACTTTTGATGGTATATTTCCCGTTTAGTTAAAAGTTCTATTTCTCATTTGCAATTGTAAAAAAACAAACAAACAAAAAAAACAAACCTATCATTCTTGCATTGTAATTTAACCATGTATGTTAAAATTGCTAGAAGAATTACCAGCCAACTGGTCATTTCATTTACTTGCCAAAGCCAGTTTACTTACATTTGCACTTGGCAAATGTTCATTTATGACCCAGTGAACAACCATGGATGACATGCGAAGCGTTACAAGTCATGTTCTATTGCCCAAGTTACTCCAATCTCCTTTAAAAAAACACAATAATCTCAATACCACAAACAGATCAAAAAGGTGAAACTGCGTCATTGTAAAATGCAAACAGTAATTATATTTAGTAATTATTATATACATCTATGACAGGATATGGCATGCCTTATGCTGGGCAGCCCATGCAGGGTCCCGGGAGCTTGGCATGGCACCTAATGAACTGAAATAAACATATACACTCAGCTTTACCCATCCTGCCAGCGTGCCTTCTCATAATATATATATGAAAAGAAATCTTATATCGCTCCCCATTTTTCAGTGTTCACAATATTTCTCAAGAGCTTTTGGTCGTGCATCAGTAAAAAGCACTGCACTTTTATTTCACTGATCTATTTATTTAATGATTTTATGTATGCATGTATGTATTTATCTACCTGCTATCCTGAGAAGAAGGAACCTCACAGATGCTTCTTGCAGCTGGTGCCCATGGAAGCAGAAACACCTCAAACTCATTCGTTTCTCACCACATTTCAGTAATGATCACCTCAGCATCTCTGATATCTGATGACCAGCAACAGACTGGCTTAAACCGAGCACCCAGTGTTGTTTCTTTCCACTAGTTGCTGTATAATTTGCCACATATCTTGGAAGCAGATGGACATCATCTCATTTTTATCAGTTTGCTGGTGCAATCGTGCGCGCCATCTGCCCATCCTGACTAACGTGTACTTGCTTGAATAGAGAAGGGTCACGTTGTTTATAAGACAATAGAATACTATTGTTTCTATTTTCTGTACTTGGGTCAGGGGGTCTGAACATGGATAATAGGAGTTTGATGAACTTTGGGGTCTGGGGTTTCCTGTATGTCCAATTAATTTGCATGAGGAATGTGCCTGCATGTATGGGGGGAGGGGGCGGGCTGCACGCCCAAGGCAAACAGGGGTCCAGATGTATTTTATTAACTGTAACAAGCTTTACAAGAGACACTTGCCACCAGGATAATAAAACAAAAAGTGATGTTTTATAAGAATAAAGACTTCTGTGCTCCTTTAAAAACTACTTTCTTAAAATAATTCACAAAATTAAATACTTGAGCAATAATATCTGAAAATGATTTCAAATCAACCAAAGAGTGACTTTGGTTTGTTACTTGAAGTTATTGGGAGTTTTTTTTATTTTGAGTTTTCTCCTACATTTTTAGGCAGGGAAAGTAGATGAAGGGACTTTCTTTTTTTCCTTTTAAAGAAAATAAGGGACGCAGTCGGGATTCAAACCGGTTTTCCCCACATGAGTACCAAAGTCCAACATTTCTGAAGCATGTGATAACTACTAGGCCTCATCTTCTGTGCTAAAAAGCCCTTCCCAACCCTGGAAAAAACACACAAACCAGTAAACTGCTCCATGGCAGAGGCCTGCATATATTTGAGTGGAAACATTCACTATAGAGCTTCAAAAAGAGGGAGTTATAGAGAGAGACTGATTTGCGTGAAGATAAAGGGAGTGAAAATGAGAAAACGAAGAAACTGTCAAAAGAGCAAACAAAGTTTCACCTTCTATTTGGGGTTGGATGATTTCTACGAAATGTCTCGGTATATGACCTAACATGCTGCCTCTCCAGATATACCCACATTAGCCTATATTACAGAGAGGAAAATACAAAGGGAAGAAAACAACCTGAAAGGGTAAATTAAAAATCCAAAAAATATATTTATATATTTATATTAATATATATTTACGAGGTATGTATCCACAAAAAAAAAGAACAAAAACAAGCAGTCTTTTTTAACTTTGTGTCAAAAGTCCCAATTAAAATAATAATAATAATTATTGTTATAATAATATCATCAATAGTAAATCAGCAAACCAAAATGAGGAGACTAAGATCCTATAAGCGTAGCACTGAGAGGTCAGTCAGCTTTCTCCAAAGGGAGTCCAAAGCATCAAAGCCTCAATCCACTAGGTGGAGCTGCAACACACTTTGAGGAACTTTTTCCTTCACATGAAGTCCAAAAAAAAAAAAAACTAGTTCCAAGAGTTCAGCAGAAAACATAAGCCCAAAATGTGCTGTGGCCCCCTGGCAACCGTGTCTCCGATTTACAAAGCTGTTCGGGGGTTCCACAACAAAAGGTGTCTTGTGCAACAAAACAAAAAAGGAGGAGCAAAAAAAAAAAAATCTCAAATCTAAAACGAAAACACAGGAGATGTGATCCTCCTAGAGATTGTTAGTGAGGCCGTAGCGCGCCTTCCATCGAGGTCACGCCAGATACTGCTGCATCGCTGTTTTTGCCCTGAGAGAAAGAGGGAAATGTGAACCGTCACATCATTACTGTGGCAACAAACCATACAACAGATGAAACAACCACCAAAATGCCAGTCTGTCCATCACCTGTCACAGAGGTTGGGATCTGATGCCTGGGTGAGTTTGTGTAAGATATCAACAAAGCCCATCTCCCTTAGCTTATCTTGTCTCTCTTGTGAGCCTGGAGGAAGTAGAAAAACAGAAACTTGAAAAAAGAATCCTATTTAACTCAAGGTTACACCATCAGATATGAATAAACACCAAGTGAACTACAAACTGCACTGCTGTTGGATAATAATAATAAACAAATAAATAAATAATCAGAGCCTCCAAACAGGAAATATTTAGGACAAAGTTAACGTTAAAGGCTCGTACACACCGGGACGAATATCGGCGCGCGTTATTCGTCAGCGTTTTTCAACGCGTTTTTTGTGTTCACACCCAAGCGATTTTCGCTGACGATGAGCCGAGTGAACATGCAAATTCATTCCCTGACATTAGATGGCGCTTAATGTAAAACAGAAATAGTCCTATTTTGTAGTCGCTGTCGCGTTTTTCATATAGTTCTTTATGTTCCGACACCAACGAGACCAGCAGCTCTACATTCATCTTGCCTTGCATCTTCCTCGTCTTATTTCTTCCCGGCAGTGTAGACCATAGATATCCATAATAAAGGCCATTGGCCAGCAGCGCGGACGAGACATCTAGCCTTTATTATGGATATCTATGGTGTGTAGACGCTACTTGGCGCATCTTCTTCGCCGTTACGTTTGTGTGCTCGGCAAGACCGTTTTGTGTTTGAGCGCCCCCAAGTTGTGTTTTACTGTAACTTCAGAAGCTCCAGACACGTGAGCAAAAGCGCCAATCTCATTGGTCGGATAGTTTTTGACGCGGCGCGTCAAACCAAAAAAACGAACCAGAGGCGTTTTTAAAAAATTACGCTTTTACGCGTGGCGTTTTTCGCGTCGGTGTGCACACTCACATAGGCGCTAAAGGCCTGTTCACACCGGGACGAATTTCGCGCGCGTTATTCGCCGACGTTTAACGCCTCATGACTAAACAAAGGGCGCCTATGTGAGTGTGCACACCGACGCGAAAAACGCCACGCGTAAAAGCGTCATTTTTAAAAATACGCCTCGGGTTCGTTTTTTTAGTTTGACGCGCCGTGTCAAAAACTATCCGACCAATGAGATTGGCGCTTTTGCTCACGTGTCTGGAGCTTCTGAAGTTACAGTAAAACACAACTTGGGGGCGCTGAAACACAAAACGGTCTTGCCGAGCACACAAACGCAACGGCGAAGAAGATATACGCCAAGTAGCGTCTACACCATAGACATAATAAATTTAGATTTATTATGTCTATGGTCTACACTGCCGAGGAGAAATAAGACGAGGAAGATGCAAGGCAAGATGAATGTAGAGCTGCTGGTCTCGTTGGTGTCGGAACATAAAGAACTATATGACAAACGCGACAGCGACTACAACATAGGACTATTTCTGTCTTACATTAAGCGCCATCTAATGTCAGGGAATGAATTGGCATGTTCACTCGGCTCATCGTCAGCCAAAATCGCTTGGGTGTGAACAAAAAAAAACACGTTGAAAAACGCTGGCGAATAACGCGCGCCGATATTCGTCCCGGTGTTGTTGTTATTTTATAAATCTTTTTCCATTTAAATAACACCATTAAATTTAACATAAATATTTTGATGTTACATTTTATTGTGCTTTCTTTCTTTAGGAGCTTGAATGCATTAACATTGAATGTACAATTTGAAAAAAATACTTAGATGCAAATTTAAAAATATAATATTAAATCAGGTTTTAAAACCCACAAATTAATTGCGATTAATGTTTTAATTAATTGACAGCCCTAATTGCATTTTTAAATCCTGTTGTGCATGTTATTTATACCACAAATTCAGACAACAGTTATACTGTGCAACCGTTTGTAATTTCAATGACAAAACTCGTGCTCAAAAATCGGATTGTTCAAAACCTCCACAAACCATGCGTCATGAGCTCCTCACCATCCTCCTCATTCCAGATGAGGTTAGAGATGCAGAAGGTTGCAGCCAGCTGCAGTTTCACATTGGAGTGACCCTGAATCATAGAGAAGAGAAGCAAAACAATTATCTAGCAGGAGAAAGAAAAGAAGGGCCAGGAGAAAAGGACAGTGACAAGGGGGATACCAACAACAGAACAAGGAGACTAAGGCAAGCAATTAAAAAAAAAAAAAAAAATGCTATAGAGAACAGAAAAAACTAGTGTGACAAAGAAGCATTGAAAACAAAGACCACGACTGAGAAACCAGATGAGCTAATGACAATACACTGACCATGTAATATTTAATTTTTTGGAGCATGTCGTCATTGGTCATAATGAGTTCCTTGGCAGTGTTTCCGTCAGCAATGTTGGCCAATATGCACAATGTCTGCAAAAGATGCCAAAGGCATTGTTAAGCATCAACTTTGGAGACTTAATCATCACCTTTAGACTTCTTTATCTAAAAATCAAGGCTCCTAAACAAAAGAGAATTAAATAAAAGTTGTATTTTATAATACGAAAAAAGAAAAATCATATTAGGTCATTAATAGCACCATTCATACCTGGGTGATACAGGTAAAAACAAAATCCAGAAATCTCAAGAAACACTTTTCAATGTTGAAAACAGTTGTGAAGCCTAATATTTTTGTGGAAAGAAACCATGATAAAGTACAAATAATCAGCATTTATTTGAAATAGAATTTCTTTGTGACATCATCAATGTCTTTATTGCTAATTTTGACCAATTTAATGCATCCTTGCTGAATAAAAGTATTAATTAAAAAACGAAATAAAAGAGCGGTAGTGTATGTGTAACATTATATTAATGTGTTCATAAACCGCAATATTTATCTGCATACAATAAAACATTTCAATTTCAGAATCGATGTATGTGCCACAAGATGGCATATTTACACATTTTATGCACCACAGTATATCACACTCAAGCCCTGTGCACAGCCAACAACAATAAACAAAAACAAGTACCTGATAAAAAGACAGAAGAGCTAAAGACTTTTTTCTATGGTATTTAAGATATGAATAGCTTTACATTTTGAAAAGTGAATTTAAGACTAACACTTTAAGGCCCGGTTTCACAGACAGGGCTTAAATTAAACCAGGATTAGGCCTTAGTTCAACTGGGACATTTAAGTAGCTTTTAGAAACGTGCCTTAAAAAAATATTACTGGTCTGCATCTTGAGACAAAACAATGGGACTGACTTAAAAAAAAAAAAAAAAAAAAAAATGTCTGTGTAAATAGCTTTCAGTTAAAACACCTCAAACATGCATTTTAGTCTGAGACTAAACCTAAGCCTTGTCTATGAAATCAGGGCTGGAATTTTTCAAGACAGCTGGAATAAACATAAACCTTAACTTTTATAAAACCAAGAACATTCCTTTTTACAACACCAGGAATATAATACTTGCTTGAGAAGACTTACTAGTCTTATTCTGTAAGACCCGGCGAGCACATTGTCATCTGAGTGTCTAATCTCTCTTATCTTAAGCGGTTCACACTGTACGATTTTGGCCGTCTGTGGGAAATTTCGTGAATCCTAAAAGATTCCTCGGATCCTAGGCCAAAATCTGAAGTCTTTGATCGTTAGTTCACCAACAGCTGATTAAGGACCATTACGATCAAATTTGACCTCAAGACGAAATTCTGGCAGTGTTAGAAGATTTGACGCACAGTCCTGTAGGGACTTCTCCTACAACAACAATCAAATCAAAAACCAATAGGGGCACCAAACCTGATGATGCAATAGTGAGACAACAACAAACCACACCGTTTCCTTTCAATAGAAGTCATGATCAAAATAAACACAGATTGTTTTTGTTTGCTAGTCACCATTTCTATCCCGCATATAATTCACATCCCTGAACGTGTCAAGGATTGATGATGTAAAACTCCAGACAAGTCTTCTTGCATGTGAACGTTTTTAAACACATCTTAATGACAACTGAGATCCCACAGTGTGACATGACTTACAGCGGGGATCATGTTCGTACAGTCTGACAAGCAACAGTCTTAAAGGACTATTATAAATCGCACAGTGTGCACCCAGCTTTAGTGTGTTTGTGTAGCTCACCTGCTCTTTGACCTCTATGCTGTGTTCTCCCTCCAAGATAAGCGTGACCGCTTGCATTATCTGCTTCCCATGTGAGCTCATGATCTGGTCTATATGCTACCAAAGACAGGGAAAGACAATTAGTGTGTGTGTGTGCACGTGTGTGTGTGTGTGTGCTACAGAAAGCCCATAATCTTGTTAGACCCTGAGAACATATCAGACAAAGTATGCATATTTATATATATATATATATATATATGAGTGTTACCGGCCGGGTGGAGAGCAGGTTTCGAAGCAGCCCCAATGTTTTCATGAGCACATTGGCATCAGGATCAGACAGGAGTCTAAAGAGCTGTTCTGTGCCCAGAGCTCGAACGATCTCCACCTTCACTTTCTGATCTGCCTGGAAGGCCATATTCTGCACAAACATGCATTACAGTCACTGATGACATTGAGTGTTTTCATCCTGAAGCTTTGGTGAGGACCAAAGTCAGCCGGTCTTACCATGAGAGCCCAGATGCCGTTGACCCTCAGAGCTGGACTGTCACTTTGTGTCAGGCTGCATAGTAACTCAATAACCCCAGACTCTAAGATAGGCTGAGAACAAACACATACACAGTCACACTCAAAGCCCAGTGGCACTTTGAATAACCCTCTCATTCTATTTAATGAAAAAATTATACTTTTAAATTATGACAAAGTAACTAAATAGTATAAGCAACAATGTTGTTCTACTGCCTGCTGATAATAATAATTCTCTTAAATTAATGTAGAAAATGTGAGTGATTAATCAAACCATTAAAAGAAATGCTGTAGCATTTTGTAATAATAGCAATACTTTTATTTCACAGAAATGTACAATACTCATGGCTGTCTTAATGTTTTTGCCTTCAAACATTAAATCGTAGAACTTTTATTTTAGTGAAAACTGCAAAGAAATCTTAAAGCTTCTCTTTTGTTGACAACAGTTTTATAAATGATTCTCGTAGACCCTTTTCACATTCCCTGGGTTCTCAGAAGCGGAAGTCATCATAGTTGGGTAAACTTCTATAGCGGTGAATGAGATGAAAGCAAATATAATTTTTTGTATTTTTAAATTTACTGCTAATGTAATAACACCAATTATTAGTGTTATAATAGTGTTATAAATGTATATGAAAATGAAAATATGAAGAACTTTACTGGATTTGCAATGCTGATAACTGTGGAAACGCATCACCACATATTACAAATTTAGGAAGATGGTTGGCGCGTTGCACTTTCAAGCGCACGTAAAAAGTGATCCAAACCACCCCCAAAATACTATTATTTTTAATAAAGATTTTAAATAAATAAATAAATAAATAAACTACAACAAATCTACACAGATCACACAAATGACCTATTTTGGATTCAAAATCTAATTTTTCTGGATTGCTAAAAAGTGCTTTTTTAGACCTATTCTATACGGTTGCTAAGGTGTTCTGAGTGTGCTCAGCAAGCAACGCTTTAGCAAGCAACACTAATAAACACTCAGCCCAACAGAGTGTGTGTACTTTACCTCTTTGCTGGGTGAAAACTCCAGCAGTAAGTTGCATAGTGTTGAAGAGGCCATGACCAGCACCTCGTCTGGTGCGTTCTGTAATAACTGCCCTCAAAAACAAATGTGCATTCAGTTAGGGTTTGATTAGCGTTCAGTAATTACTCAACAACATCATATGAATATCATACCTTCATTAGTGGCTTCCATACTGCATGATCGTGGAAACTCGTTCTTAGCTGTTGTACAGATCGTGATAAACTGTGCAGACATCTAGAAGAAATTTGAATGAAATCAGTTGAAACTGAAAGAGCAAACAAAACCTCTTTTCTTTGTTTTATTCTTTATATATCCAGTTGTTGTGCCCTTACAACAAACATTTCTCATTTGAACAACTGTTCAAAAGTTTGGGGTCTGTAAAAATTGTAAGTCTCTTATGCTCACCAAAGTTGCATTTATTTGAAAATTCCAGTAATAACAGTAATATGATGACATTTTATAACAAATTAAAATAACTGTTTTCTATTTGAATAGATTTTAAAATGTAATTTATTATCAGCATCATTACTCCAGTCTTCAGTCACATGATCCTTTAGAAATCATTCTTATTTATTATCATCAATGTTAAAAACAGTAGTGTTGCTAAATATATTTGAGTAAAACATGATACAAGTTCATCTTACTGACCCCAAACTTATGAATGGTAGTGAATGGTAGCTTTTGTTTGTTTGATAGACAACAATTAAGAGAAAAGGTGTGTCATACCTGACTGCTGCTAACCGTACTTTGATACTAGATTCTGATAGGCCGCTAACGATCCTGTCCATCATGTTTTCTGTCTCTGTAATCTGTAGTGGGAAATTTATGTAAATTAATGGGGAAATAATATATATAATATAATATAATAATTTTGGTAATACATCCATAACGAGAAACCCCCATGGTATCTCACCTTTTTCCTGATGTCCTCGTCATTGGAGCCCAGTGAAGCATAGAGTTTAAAAGCTGCTTGTCGGAGCTCATGTGCATGTTTCAAGTCATGGTCCAACTACAGGAAGACAGACGATCAGTTAAACTGAGTCTTCATTTTATCGGAAAATCAAAATGTACCTGGATACACCTGCTATTGGAATCTTCATACTTAGCTTTATATAAAAACAACAGAAGTCTCTGGTAAAGCTTATTAAATGCGTGTAAATGTATATGTGTGTGCGTGAATGTACCCTCTTAATATCAGTGATGGCACTGACGGAGCTCGGGTATTTAAAGTAGTCAGCCAACATGGACACGAGGTGGTCAGTGACGCTGGCAATCCGCTGTAGTTCTATGTCCGGCTCCATCAGGTAGGCCAGTGTCTCGGCCCCCTCCACCCTCTCCTCCAGTAACCGCTCTTTACTGCACATCCGGACCAGGCAAGGCAAAGTCTGTCCACCCACACACAACTAGTTACTATGCACTCTCAATGGTTACACTTCTGCATTCATCATGTAAATATGGATGTTTTTTCGGGAGGTACCTTTAGTACAACACAGCCGTCGTCTGTACTGATGGCTCCTGCTCGACACATGTATGTTAAACTGAGAGAGAAAGAGTGCGAGTGTGTACAAGCTGAGGGGATTACACATGTATTTTCACAAATAACCTGCAGGGTGAGATACCATTTATCTTACTTACCATTTTGCGGCTGTAAGCTGCATTTCGATGGGTTTGTCCCTTTGCATCATTCTAACAAAAACCTGAGAGAGCTGCTCACCATCTACAAGCACTGAGAAACATACAACAAATGAATATGATGATTTGAACAGGCTGAAGTATTATTGATTTTCTTCTATAGACATACAGGAAGCCTAAATAAAGCCCTGAAGGAAACATAATCACAACATCTGATTCAAAGAAAAAATGAGCATTGCAAATAATGTCATATCAGTCTTTTTCGTGTATTGATGATGATTTTCAGGCTCTAAAGGTGATGATACACAGGGCAACTTTTTGAGCAATGTTGCTGGGCAATCTTGCCGAGCGATTGTTGCTTGTGTACTTTTACATTGAAAATGGGCAATACATTTCTATCTGGATAATTTAGATCGGTCGTGGGCCCTGTGTCTCATCTGGTTGCCCGTTGACGGCGACATTGCCCAGCAACATTGCTCAAAAAGTTGCCCTGTGTATCATCACCTTAACACTACACTATTAACTAAGGGCAAGCTCACACTACAGGACTGTAAAACTATCTACACTACACAAGGTTTCTCATCTGTCGTTGTCTTGTCATAGTAGCATGCACACTACACTACAAAACACAACACTGATGAGGTGCACAAACTACAAGAGATTTGGTCAAGAGTCAGTCCCGACCAACAGCGAAGAAAAAGAAAATAAAACGAATTCATCCTCACCATTCACCAGTGTCATGGAGACCTGAGCGTTCTCATAGGCCAAGACTGAGAAACACTTTAACGCCTGCATCCGTACCTGCGGAGAGAGTGAAACATTATTAATCTGTATACCAGTTTGTCTGAATACTCGATTCTGATGGTGGTAGGTGTGCAATAAAACAGGTAGATCCAAGTCAGTTTAATCACTGTTCTGTAATTAATGCGCTGCTTTCATTGAAGCACACACAGAGATCGGAGATTGCACAGCGAACACACAGAAATAGGAGCAGAGAAACTTGTTGTTAAAGCTTCCCCGCGACCTTTATTAATAAACGAACTTTGCTACTGAATCGTTACATAATATTAGTCAGCAAAAGGTTGTAATGTCGCTGTTTTTGAAGCAATTAAACACACAGCTTCATTGCTAGTAGAGAAAAGATGCACGGATGCATGTAATTCACACACACATCTTTCTCTTTCTCTCTCAAAAGGCTAATTCATTCAAATAAATGTTATAATTCAATTAAATAAATGTAACTTTATTGCACTACTTTATCTTTGTGTCTGATTTAAAGCGGACAAAATGCAAGATCTACCGTAACTAGATCTGGTAGCTGATGAAAATAACCATAATTTTAACCCTTCCAGTCAAATTTAGCACTGCTAACATCAATGACACCTTTAACTTGTCAATGCTGGAAAATGACAATAGTATAAGCAGGATAATCCACAGCTAGCTGTACATTAAACTATGTGAATGCACTCCGAAGGCAACCACCCTCCGCTTTGTGTCAGGTGGTTCTTTGCCTCCACATCGTGCATTAAAATCGTTTAATGCACAGCTAGCCATGAATTGTCCCTTATGAATACACCAACATGCATAAAATAACAACTGGAAAAGCCATTCTGTTCCTTTTTGTACCTTATAGGAGGGAGAGATGAGCAGTGGAGCGATGTTCTGGATGGCACCATGGTTAAACAACACTGTCTGATGTTCTGGAGTCTGAACACACACATTATTCAACATTTTAGGATTTTTTTTCTGGCAGTTTAGACTTCATGGCTGTAATACTGCAACTACTTTACAGTTTGACGTGTGGCCACAGGTGTGTATTGTATGTGACTAATCCTATCGCAATTTAGAGCTGGAACTATTTGACTTATAAATCTGAATAAATGCATATTTACTGCGTGATGCTGAGTTGTGTGTTACCTTGCAGCAGTGGGCGAATATTTGCGTGATGTATTCCTGTGTGTGCTGTGACCGACTCAGCAAGGACATGAGGTGGGGGATCACAGTAGGGTCCTGATGCAAATAAAAACATGTTGATCACACTTCTGTTTATGCACGTGCATATGTCGGTTCAGAATGGGACACATGCGAGTCGTAGTCGTCTTACTGTGTAGAGCAGCTGCACTGGTGTGACTGGACTGATGAAAACGGTTCTTAAACAGCGCAGACATGCCTCAATGAAGATCAGATCAGAACACAAGAGACCTGCAGAAACACAAAACACATGAACACTTTTCAAATAAAAATATATAGCAGAAATCAGCATGGATCTGTAGAGAGAAAAAGAGAGAGGTGAAAGAGCAAGAACCTTGCAGCAGGGCTGGGATGATGTGACAGTCCACCAGGGACTTGATGTTGTTCTCTGTGCCCATGGCCAGACTGCCCAACACGACCGCACATTCAGTCCTCAGCTCCAGACTGGAGGAGCTCTGCTGGAGAAGATACAGGAGTCTACACACACACACACACACACACAACCTTGTCATCATCATCATCATCATCATCAACAACATCATTAGAGCCAGCGATTAGCATATTACTGGAAAGCGCCTTGTGCACCTTTTGGTTGTTGTAAGGCGCTCTACAAATAAAATTTGATTTGATTTGATTTGATATAAAACATCAGAAGTTGAAAAATCAACATAGAACAGCTTTTTGTGTATCTTAAAGTCACCATGAAATCAAAATTGATAATTCTTGTTTTTTGGAATGGTGAAAAATACTCACATGCCTAAGACTCCCGGAGAAGTAAAACTGAATAAATTAGCTATGATGATGCTTAAATTTTATTGGATGTGTCAAAACTGTAGTGCTATTGGTATAAAATTTGAAGTGAGCGGACCTACCTTGGCACGGCTCCCAGCACAATCAGGTTGGCCTTCTGTTTGTTGTTTCCGATGACTGCATTCTTCATGTCACTGTCAATCCAGAAATGCACAAAACACATACACTTAAAATAGCATAACAGAAAAACAGATTAACAGAATTTCTCAATACTTTGAGGGTGCTGTTGCTCTCAGATGAACCACAAACCAGGGAAAATTTCTTTAGAAATTAGAAACTTCATTCATTACATTAAAAATTCTTACAGACCCCAAACTACTTAACGGTAGTGTATAAATACAATGATATTTTAGTAAGTGTTCATAATTTTTTAACAAGATTTGACCATTATCCGCATTTTTGCAGTTCGTTTCATTGTGAGATTTTACACATATTATGTTTTCTTTCAATTGATATGGAAACTGCGTGTATAATAATTACACAACAATTGGAAATATGTCATTTAAAACCACTGAAGTAGAGGACACTGATGTTTTTGTTTGACATATCATACAGTTAGCGTATATTTGAATGATCTGAGGATTATAGAGGCTGATAATGATAGAGCAAACAGTAACACCTTCCCAGCAGAGATCTCATGTCTTGTTCAGCTCACGTACAGCATGTACAGATAATGTAGCCACATTCAAGTTCTCCTGTGAAGTTTCAACTTAGTATGAACAACGGAATTGCGACACGAAGTGATCCTGGTCTGAATAAAAATGATGAAGTGTAATGATGAAACTTCAAAAATGATGATGAAAAAATGATGAAAATAATGATGACATGCACATTATCGGTGCATTTTATCGATATCGTTCTGCCACCAATAATGATGGGAGGATTGATGCCTGTTGCTTTATAGGGAAAAAAAACATGAGCGAATATTTTGGCAAGGATTATTGCTAGTCTTCGTCAATAGAACTCAAATTGTTTACAAATGTAACCATAGTCATAATAAACTTATGCAGCGTTTAAGTCATATTGAAATGATTTATTTGAGAGTTGAGTGCACATGATGCAAGATGATAGATGCACATGATGATAGATACAAAGATAAAGCACCAATTACAAACCTAATGTGCATCATTTGCTCTTTATTTTGTTGCATCATCACTAAAAAGCTTCAGGAAATGAAAAAGGGAGGGTATTGTTAACTGAAACCATTACAAATCATTTTCGGTCATTTAAATCAAGCTTAAATTATCAGTCGATTTAAATTAGAATGAGTCAAATTAGATGAAAAAAAATAACATTTCAGTTACTTGCCAAGGCAACATTTTCAGGAGGAACTTCCCAGGAGGGTTTGAACACAACATTATTTATGACCAATTAGCTTAATTCGTCTAGCTTAAATTCCCCATAATTCTTTAGCTGACACGCCTCCAACTGGAAAAGTCAGTGCTCCAAGAGAATTATGAATTATTATTAGTGGTGCATCTCTGCACATTCATCAAGTTCAAATCATTTCATTTGAACTTGATGAACAGGGCCAGGCAGCATGAATGTACTAACTCTATAATAATCAGTGTCTTGGTTGATGTTTACTCTGATGGAAGATTTATATCTGTGGAAAAGTGCGGCAATGGCAGTCGAGAAACGTCAAGCTAACAGTAACCAGAGCTTGAGTTAAAAATAAAGATGAAGAGACCCGAGCCCCAGCTACCCAGACACACTCACATAAACACACAAGTACAGCACCTCACAACGTCTCGCATGAAACAACAAAAAACTAAACTTTTTCTCTCTAAGGACTAAAACCAACCTCCTATGGTGGCAGCCTCATCTTTTGCACTCAGAAAAGTGAGCATGGTGACCTGTAACAGAGCAGATCGCAACCACACAGGAAGGACGTATGGTTGTGTACTCACATGACTCCCTGCAGCACGTTCTGTGGGTCAGGGTCGAAAAGCCGGTCAACATAGTGGCGACTCGTGGCTGTGACTTCCTGCATGGTGATAAATGACAGCACAAAGCGGATTCAGCAAACTCATCCCGTCTGAGGCATCACAACACCCTCATTCTCGCCCCATAGCCACCTCTCCGGCTCACAGGGTCCAAATACATCAGTCTGTTTATCCTTACAGTCACCGGCTGTTGGTGGAAGTCTCTAGAAGGAGAGCAGAGACCTGCTTGCCGCCTCCTCACACACCGCAGCTCTCTCGTATAGAGACGGCAATTTCAGGGCAGAGAAAAGTGGGAATGATGCTCTGTGGGAACGATGGTCACCCCAAACACACCAAAGAATCTATGCAATCAGCTTGCACTGCTATAAATGTCACTTCATGGTTCAAAACATCACATTCTCAGATGAACTTTAGAATTTCACATTGAATATAACCATTGTATTATGTTAAAATCTGAAAACAATTTAATGGTGAAGGTCAATTGGATTCAATATATGCCTACAATTCACTAAAAAAAAAAAAAATCACACTATGAGAAAAAAACTGCAAATATTTAACATTATATTACAAAAAATGAACATGAGAACATAGGATGTTTAAAACTAAATTTTTTCCCCCTAAACTGTGAATATTATAAACAACATTGTAACTATTTTTAAACAAAAAAAATACTTGTACTGTGTGCTTTCCTATGCTCAGTAGAGCATGGCGCTAGCAACTGAAAATGCATGAACTGATAAAAATGTATGACTTCAATGCAGTGCCAAATACATAAATGTAAATACCCTCAGATACCCTCACACAACAAAATTCATCAAAAAATATATAGCCTATATTTTAGGTCCGCGCCTCTAAAAATGAACACACATTCCACAACACATGTTGATATTTTTTCATGTTTAGGCATTTTTATGACCGTAAAAAATTCAGAAAATGTATTTCTGACAACTTTAAATTGGCTAAATTGACCTGCAACATAATAAAAAGTGATTCACTGTATATTACCTGTTCTTACACAAATGAATTTCAAACAGACTTCAACAAAGCATTTAATTGATAATTTGAGATAATTATTAAATTACAGTATTACATTACAGTATTAACCAGTCCTAATTTTGTAGCTGTCATTCTAGAGGTCATTACTTAAATAAACAATTAAGTTGCAAATCTTACATAATTAATTTATTTGACATTTACCAAAATGAGATCTCTATGCATTGACATTAGTTAAAGGCAGAGTATGCAAGTTTCCCCACTAGGGGTGTAACGGTACACAAAAATCACGGTTCGGTACGTACCTCTGTTTTAAAGTCACGGTTCGGTACGTTTTCGATACAGCAAAAAGTAAGAAATGCCAGAGAAATTTCTTATTTGTTAAAAGAAAAAAATATTTTTTAAATAAGTTGAGTTTTCCTACATCTTGAAACTTTCAGCTCTATAAATGGGTGTCATCTTTGAAGGATGAACAAATAATGTTTTGGTCATCACATTAAAAATAACATTTAAATATATGAAGAGTTCAGATGCAAAAGCCATTTGAAATTTTCTTTATTTTTATCAAGCTTGTATATCTAAGTTCAGTAATTTCACTTAAATGGCAATGAAGATTACCTATTAATTGTCATTTGAGTGAAATTACTGAACTTAAATATACAAGCTTCATAAAAATGATCATTCTAGAAGAAAATTTCAAATGGCACATAGAGGCTTTTGCATCTGAACTCTTCATATATTTATTTATATAATATTTGAGTTTTGAAGTGCTGGAAAAAGATGTGTGAAGTAGGCTACTTGAAAGCATTTCACTATTCCAGCCAAACTGGTTACAGTTATGGTGAATGTTGCTGGTCTGTGGAGGTAAAGTATTACTAACTTAGTTCATTCACGGCACAATATTTCTCCTGGTGTCCACGTCAGCGCTGTTTGATCTAATAGAGATCTACGGTTAATAACGGAGAAATGTGAATGCTTCTCACTAGATATCGCAGCGATGTTATTACTTCAGTGGCGAATTCAAATGTTTTCTTTACTGGATCTCTTAGCGCTGTGTAGTGACAGTGTCGCTTGATCGAGATCGGCTCGCGCTGCACAGATGTTGCTGGTCCGAACTCCGAACTGATAAACGATCCGTGAAGCACATGAGTAGCGCAGTTTCGTTCCGCTTTCTTTACGCTTGCCATTTGATGTTGCGCAACGCTGTGGTGGTCGCGCCAGCGCGAATTTTGTCGGTAGGAAAAATGGTCCAAGGAATCGTTCGGTTTGTATGCGTACCGAACCGGAAGCCTCGAACCGAAACGGTTCAATACGAATACATGTACCGTTACACCCCTATTCCCCACTAGATGTTGCTTATTCAAAACAATAACAAAGGCGTATCTTAATGACGCTTTGAATGAGTATGGATTCATGGGAGTTATCGTCTTCACCTCCACAGCTATCCAACGGGACTCAGAAATCAAGTTTATAGATGAGCTAATGTATTTATTAACGTTACTGTGAAACGAAGCAGGGCGGAGAGCGGAACGAGGTAGGTGGAGCAAATGCTAATGAGAGACTCCTGCACAACACACCGGTCTCGAGTCCCATGAAGGAGCTTCGGCTTTAATCGTGTGTAGGCCGCTGCCGCTCCTTACGTTTAGTTGTTTATGTCTATTATACGATTAAAGTTATGTTTAACGTTTGACAGTTCCCACCTCCTTCTTCCCTGAACTTGAACTTTGTTACAGTTACTTTTGATCACTTAAAATCACATTCTTTTATTTCATTCTAACGAAATAGCTGCAAGTGCTTAATTACTACTCGTACAGGTCACTTTAACTGACGAAGTAAAATTATGGGCTAACGCAGCACTGTTTTACTTGGTCAAAAATAAACTTACTAAAAATACAAAAACTTACTAAAAATACATTTGAGTGTGTTTAAAGGGGTCATATAATGGTACATGCACTTTTACAAGTTGATTGTACTGAAATGTGTGTTGGCAGTGTCTGTACACAACCATCATATAATGATAAAAATCCATCCAGTGTTTTTGTTTTAATCTCCTTATATGTTTTCCCGTCTCAAATCGAGCCGTTTGAGCCTGTGACGTCACAAGCTCGCACGCCCCTCCCACGATTGTTGATTGACAGGAGCGTTTCAACACAGACCCGCCCTCGCTCATGAGGGAGCTGTCAATCATAGTCTGCGCGGCGCGGACCGGCACGGTCATTGTTGATGTGCCGGAGCACTGTCTATGAGCAGAATGGCGTCTAGGCGATTGTGGTGTTCTGTTCTTGGGTGTAATAACGAACACAGCAGTCATTTTAATGTTCCTAAATCCGAACCGCCGAAGACGCAGTGGCTGAGTTTGTTTTCGAAGGGAATATTCCCCACGATCAACGTCAATGCTCTCATGTTTGCGCGAATCATTTCACACACCAGACTGCTTTATAAACGAGGATCAGTATAAAGCTGGATTTGCTAAGAAGCTGCTCATGAAAAAAGGATCGGTACCAGATATTCGTGTTCCTGCTGAATCTCCAGAAGAACGGAAGTGAGTGTAACGTTTTATTAAACTTTATATTAATCTATTAATCTTTGCAAATCGCTAGCTGCACGCTTCACAATGAATGCGTCTAAGGTTTACACTCAGGGTACATTACGGCATGTTTTCTATGTATGACGTTCTCAATATAATTCGTAATCCCACGTTTATAATGAACAACACGTTATGGTTATTGTGTTATTGAGTTACAAACGGTGTACGCACAGAACAGAGAGGCGGGGTGAGCGAAGCTCATTATCATTTAAAGGCATATGCACTGAAACGGCGTGCTGAAAACAGAGCTGTTTTTGACCAGGTAAAATAAGTGTTTTCTTACAATACTAATGAGAATTTTTAATTAAAGTATATTACAAACTTTTAATTTAGACCCTAAAGAATCATATTAGCTTGTACAAAAATGGCATTATATGACCCCTTTAAAGTTATGTTATAACGTCACTCTACTTGTTGCACATTGCAGTAAGCTATGACGACGTTGCCAGCCGAGGCAAGGACACGGGCCGTTACACTGGTTAAAATGGCTGATTTCTCTGGATTTAAACATTGTTGGAAACATTTGGGATAATGTGGATTCAACAAGTCAACAAAATATAGAACATTGTTCTAGTGGTTTTTGGACATTTTAATCCAAAAAAATCTTACATACGATGCTTTTAATATACTAATACAGTGGTTGTCTCAAACCTGTCCTAGAGTACCACCACCAGCCCCGCACATTTTGTATGTCTCCCTCATCTATCACACCTGATTCAACTCATGAGCTCATTAGTAGAGACTACAAGACCTGAAATGAGTGTGTCAGATATAGGGAGACATACAAAATGTGCAGGGGTGGTGGTACTCCAGGCCAGGTTTGAGAACCACTGTACTAACAGACACAAGCTTATAGAGAAGCACAGCTACAATCACATACATATTATGAGGCACATGAGTTTATTTTTATAAATTATAATTTAGATCTTTAAAAAATGCACATAGCATCTTTAAACCTTAGTCATTATGTTCAGTTTGGGGTCTGAAAGACTTCAAGCCCCCTTTACTCTTCAAAACAGATACAATATGCAAGTTATTTTATGGCATCATCAAGACATGAGCAGTCTCATAATGATAATAAAGAAAGCTTCATGCTGATAAAAAAAAAAAAACACTTTTGTTTGGGGTCTCAGAGACTTCAGGTGTAAAACATGAATAAATGCAATACATTTGATGATCAAATATGACTTCTGAAAAGAAACAGTGTGTATATCAACAGTTACTTACCTTTATAATATAACAAAGGGTTAAAGCTTTATCAATATCACACTACTGGTTTTGATTACATCAGATGAGCACATTCCCATTCAAAATATCAATATAAATACAGGGGCAGATGAGATTGGTAATTATCCAGTAACATGTTATACATCACATCACCAGTGTATTAACACCTATACTGTACTTGGGTACCACCACAGTGAGGGTAGATCAACATGTGTCAAAACATACAGTACAGAACTACTGGGCTGTCAAAAGGGGGGCGTTACCACCATATTTGCCCATCAGCTCATCATTTAACTACTATATCAGAGAATATAAAGCAGGTTTGTTTTTGTTTTTGAAGCCCCAGCACTAAATATAGACTGAAAACTAAATATAACTTTGATTTGACAGCTCTGAGCACATCCAGATCTGCTGTTAGCCACATAAACACACAAGCAATTATTTAAAAAAAAAACACCGTTTAATTTAAGATCACTCGCTAAAGTATATCTAATGTGTCAAGTGTATTTCTGAGAGATTCTGAAGTGAAAACGTGAGGTTTCAATTGCTATAATCAAAGAGACTCACGGATAACACGCTGATGCGTAAAGGGGCCTCCAGCAGGCACGCCATCATTCACCCAGCGGAACATTCACAGCGGCACTTTCCACACAAACACAGCTCAATCAGCGGAATATTTACAGCAGCACTTTCTCCCCAAACTTAAATCAGCCAAACATACAGTCCAGCACTTTCCACACCACTGGGTGTCAAATGTTACTGCCTCTCTATTTAAGTTTTATTTATAAAAAGGATAATAAAACATATATATTTTTTAATTTCAAGGAATTTAAATAATTAAAAGACAATTAATAATTTAAATAATAACAATTATTCATTATTCAAACTAGTATTAATTACTCAACTATTAAATAAAATAAAAAATGTGGTTCAAATGAGAGACAAAACTCTTCCTAAAAGTCACTTCAAAAAGTGATTTTCGTGGTTCAAAAAGCCGCATCCTTCTTTGAGCCTTTTCCAATCTTAGGAGAATAGGGCGATTTTTTGGAATGTCTTACCGCGGACATTATTATACAAAAAGTATATTTTCCTATTAATTAATTAAAAAATTATTACTTGAGATAAAAAAGACCATACATTAAATTCAGCAGTATAATTTGAATTGAAAAAATAAATCGTTTGTTTATTAAAGACAAGAGGATTTGATTATTCCACACCGAACAAAAAGTAACATAGCATGTGACAAAGCAAAAGCACGCAGAAGGCCGGCAGCACCAGGCTGCATTTTCAACAACTATAATTTCAGAGTCAAATTCAGAGTGCTTCAGTGGCATAAAATTATAAGCTAAATTCATAAACACAAAAAAAACAATATTAGTATGAATAATAATACAGAGAAAATAAAATTAATAAAAACATTGAGCAACAGTAGATGATAGACAGCAGTCAGTTACATCAGCCGTATGTCTGGTGCAGTTAATAAAATGTAATTAAATATTACTATTCTACCCTTATTTTAATCTAAAATTAATATTATTATTGGTTCATTTTTATACAAACAAAATTCTTATAATTTGTATATCGATGTTCAACATGTCCCCATAATTCACTGTTTTAATATTGCTAACGTGCAACCAAATGCATGCTGATCAATATCCTTGCAACCAAGGCTTTACAAGTTTTATATATAAACCAGAGAATGTCCGTAGACGGGCTTTGTATAAACTGAAGAACGAATATAAATTACGGAAAGTGTGGATGAAGAATAAAAAATGCATTTAGTGCGCTGGTCACATGACCGTTTGCGCATGAGCAGAGTAGCATGTGAGTGCAGGGAGTCAAAGCGGCTGCTGGAAGAATTAAGTATAACCAAAGCCGACATTCTCTGGTATAACTATTAAGATGTACATGCTGACCGATGGTTAACGCGTTTTGTCGTCTTTGAGTGTAACGCTGTGGTTTAGAGAAATAAGGATGAAGGTGGCAGTAGAAGGCTGTTGTCATGGAGAGCTGGATAAGATATATGAGAGCATCAGTTACCTGGAGAATAAAGAAGGTGTGAAGGTGGACCTGCTTCTGTGCTGCGGAGACTTCCAGGCTGTCAGAAATGAAGGAGACATGAAGTGCATGGCGGTGCCTGCCAAATACAGACAAATGCAAACTTTTTACAAGTAAGGAAACCCCTGACGTTATTCTCTGGATAGATAGATAGACAGATGAGCAGAAAGATAACTATATAGGCTGAAAATCGGCCTGAAAGAAAGAAAGAAAGAAAGAAAGAAAGAAAGAAAGAAAGAAAGAAAGAAAGAAATGGCATGTTTATGGGTTATTTAATGTCAAATAAAAAGTAAATATTGTGTTGGTGATATTGGTCGACCATTGTTTCTCATGTCATTACTCATTATTACAATTGTTTTTCTAAGGTACTACTCTGGTGAGAAGAAAGCTCCTGTCCTGACAATTTTCATTGGCGGAAACCATGAGGCATCAAACTATCTGCAGGAACTTCCGTATGGAGGCTGGGTGGCTCCCAACATCTATTACCTGGGTGAGATCTTTAGGCTATACTTACAAATATTGTTACTTTAATATGTAGTTAGATTATCTAGTATACATTTTGTGTTTCAGTGTTCAATATTCTCATACTTTTATGGTTTTCTGGATAGTACTTGGCTTAAATAATAGTTCTCAATAGATTTGATGTTCCTCATTACTCAGGTTATGCTGGTGTCGTACGCTTTAGAGGTGTACGGATTGGCGGTCTTTCTGGTATATTTAAATCCCACGATTACAAGAAAGGTGAGTTTTAACAGTTCCAAATCAACTGTGTTGTGTTATAAGACACAAATATGCATTTTTTTAAAAAAATTTATGCAATTTTAGGACACTTTGAGTTTCCGCCGTACAGCCAAGAAACATTGCGCAGCGTGTACCACATACGGAACATTGACGTCTTCAAGCTTAAACAGGTAAATCTTTGTAATGTGGAATGCATCAATAGACATCTTACACGTTCAATAATAAGGATGCAGATTCAGAAAAAAAAATCTGAAATTGTATATGCATCAAGAAAAATCAGACACAATTCTTAATTCATAAAAAGAGGGCTTGGCAAAATACTATTTATTTACATGTATAATTTCTAACCTCACTTCTCAAGCTCAAGATGCCCATAGACGTCTTCATTACGCATGATTGGCCGAGAGGCATTTATCACTACGGCAACACAAATCAGCTTCTGCGCAAGAAGAAGTTCCTCAGACAGGAAGTGGAGAGCGGTACCCTGGGCAGCCCTGCTGCGGCAGAACTCCTAGACCACCTGCAGCCCAGCTACTGGTTCTCAGCTCACCTGCACGTGAAGTTTGCTGCACTGATGCAGCACGAGGTGGGTCAGTGGTTTTGACAAATACAAGCCTTCAGTTTCCATTGTAGAGATTACGCTGTCACAGATACACTAGATTTAAGTCACTCTTACAAATATATTCACAATCATTTGCTGGCAATATAAAATGAAAAAAGCTTGAATATCTAGAATATGTTATTGTGATTTGTATTCAATCCACTAGATTGTCATTAGATTGATAATCGGACTAATTTTGTGATGCCTTCTTGTCTCGTGATTTGTGAACAAGAGAGCGTTAATACAGGGATGTCTGTGATTTTTTTTTTTTTTTTGATTTTTTTTTTTTACTTCAGCAACAAAAAATAGTTGGGGAAGAAAAAACTCAAACTTTTAAGCCATTTCAAAGCATTATATATATATATTGTAACGTGTGTGTGCAATATCTGCAAACATCTGAAAATGTTAAGAGAGACATTTTAAAAAATATGTTTATATATTGCATAAATTGAATATACACTCACCGGCCACTTTATTAGGTACACCTGTCCAACTGCTCGTTAACACTTAATTTCTAAGCAGCCAATCACATGGCGGCAACTCAGTGCATTTAGGCATGTAGACATGGTCAAGACAATCTCCTGCAGTTCAAACCAAGCATCAGTATGGGGAAGAAAGTTGATTTGAGTGACTTTGAACGTGGCATGATTGTTGGTGCCAGAAGGGCTGGTCTGAGTATTTCAGAAACTGCTAATCTACTGGGATTTTCACGCACAACCATCTCTAGGGTTTACAGAGAATGGTCCGAAAAAGAAAAAACATCCAGTGAGCGGCAGTTCTGTGGGCGGAAATGCCTTGTTGATGCCAGAGGTCAGAGGAGAATGGCCAGACTGGTTCGAGCTGATAGAAGGGCAACAGTGACTGAAATAACCACTCGTTACAACCGAGGTATGCAGCAAAGCATTTGTGAAGCCACAACACGCACAACCTTGAGGCGGATGGGCTACAACAGCAGAAGACTCCACCGGGTACCACTCATCTCCACTACAAATAGGAAAAAGAGGCTACAATTTGCAAGAGCTCACCAAAATTGAACAGTTGAAGACTGGAAAAATGTTGCCTGGTCTGATGAGTCTCGATTTCTGTTGAGACATTCAGATGTTAGAGTCAGAATTTGGCGTAAACAGAATGAGAACATGGAACCATCATGCCTTGTTACCACTGTGCAGGCTGGTGGTGGTGGTGTAATGGTGTGGGGGATGTTTTCCTGGCACACTTTAGGCCCCTTAGTGCCAATTGGGCATCGTTTAAATGCCACGGCCTACCTGAGCATTGTTTCTGACCATGTCCATCCCTTTATGGCCACCATGTACCCATCCTCTGATGGCTACTTCCACCATGTCACAAAGCTCTAATCATTTCAAATTGGTTTCTTGAACATGACAATGAGTTCACTGTACTAAAATGGCCTCCACAGTCACCAGATCTCAACCCAATAGAGCATCTTTGGGATGTGGTGGAACGGGAGATTCGCATCATGGATGTGCAGCCGACAAATCTGCGGCAACTGTGTGATGCCATCATGTCAATATGGACCAAACTCCCTGAGGAATGCTTCCAGCACCTTGTTGAATCTATGCCACGAAGAATTGAGGCAGTTCTGAAGGCAAAAGGGGGTCCAACCCGTTACTAGCATGGGGTACCTAATAAAGTGGCCGGTGAGTGTATGTATATATTTTTATTTTATGACAACATAAATTTAACATGTCTTATGAAAGAGCTTCTGGAATATCTCTATTTTATTATTTTTATATCTCTCTTGGAGTTACATACAGGCCTAAGATAAGATGTAGATATCAGAGTTAATTATTTATTGAAAAGTAAATAACAACAAGCTATTTGTCACATTAGGCTAAGAATAATTCTGCCGCAAAGATCACCAAGTTTCTCTCACTTGACAAGTGTCTTCCACATCGAGACTTCCTTCAGGTAATGATCCTGCAGTTTCCATCAACAAGCATATTTCAAGATCCACTTTGACCAAATATTGTAGATCTAGTAGTAGAACAAGAAGTAGATCTTTGTGAATGAATCAAGATTTTGATATTGCAGATCGTGGAGGTAGCAGACAGACCGGGCTCCTCCGAACACCTCGAGTACGACCCAGAGTGGCTGGCCATCTTGAAAGCGACAGACCGACTTCAGAAACCATCCCACAATTTTTGGAACCCCCCGCAAGACAACGGACTACACACCCGGTACAGACCACAATACAATAATAACCACATTTACATGCGCATGATTATTTGATTGCTTGTTAAGCCTTCATTCTATTTGCATATTCCAGTAACCAGCATATTCCCAATAAATTCAGATCTTTCCCTGCTAATCTCCTGTGGAAATTCGGAAGATGCACTTTGATATGTTGAATTGTCATAGCTGCCTGTGTCCCTTGTCGTTCTCATAGTTCTTAGTCACGTTTGTCACAATTACCTATACTGTAGTTATTTTTGTTTGAATATGTAATTGAATATTTAAAAATCCTCACCAAGGATGTTTATTTGATCAAAAATACAGGAAAACTGTAATATTATGAAATACTATTACAAATTTAAATAACTATTTTCTATTTTAATACAATTTAAAATGTAATTTATACCTGTGATGTCCAAGCTGAATTTTCAGCATCATTACTTAAAAGTCGTGATATAAAGAACATTTCAGTATATTTCTGAAAACCGTGATACATTTTTTTTCCCCCAAGATTCTTTGGTAAAAAGAAACACTAGCATAACAGCATTTATTTTAAGTAGAAATATTTTATATCATTATAAATCGCTTCACTGTAACTTTTGATCAATTAAATGTGTCTTTGCTGAATGAAAGTGTTAATAAAAAAAGAAACTTTTGGGGTCAGTTTAGTGTAATAGAGTTAATATAAGCATATACCATTTTGAAACCTGGGCTTAACTGGTTTATGACAAATGGGTTTACACGTTTACATCACATACATATGTAATCTGAATAATTCCAATATTAATTGGAATTTGGTGCACATAAATTAATTTGTATTTTGGCATCCTATTTTTCTGCTTCTTTCAGGTGGGATTTCAGTGCGTCAGAGGAAGCTATGATGGAGGTTGTGAGAGATTTGAGTGGTGACCTCTGCATCCCTGAGAATTTCAGCCTGACGGTGCCCGCCTACGACCCCAGCCGCCCTCAACCCAATGCTCACCCAGCCTACTCCACCAACCCCCAAACCACAGAGGTGTGTGCCACCCTCGGCCTGACGGACATCTACATCCTGGCTGGGCAAAATGGGCAGACTTATGGGGAGGAGGGTGCCACAGGTGCGACTGAAGAGGAGGAGGACGAGGACAGCACTGGGAGCGTAGACGAACCCAGTGAATACCCCACTGACACCTCCGGCCTCTCCAGCTCCTACAACCCTGATGAAATCACCATTGAGGATGAATGGGAGGAGGAAGAGGATGAGGCAGTAGGATGTGCCGAGGAGAAAGGGACAGACGCAGTGGTTCCAGAAGGGCAAATGGGGGGCCAGGACAGCGATAGAGACAGCAGCCCCCAGCGAGAGACAGCTATTAGACTGATCTTACCGCCCCCATGTGCTGCACCAGAGACGGAGGCTCCACTACACTCCTTACGGCCTCTTTCTCTTCCCCCTCCTTCAGCATCCCTCTCTCAGGGCAGCTCAGAAGAGGAGGGGGGCTTCACGTCAGCCAGGGTCCCCAAACGCACGAGTGGTGAGACGGCACAGGGGCCCGCGAGTCACACGGGTGGCACACCTCAAATAAAACGGAGAAACCAGAGTATCTACACGGCAGTAGATGATGAAGAAAGTGAGGGCTAGATAAATGCAATTATATTTTTAGATCAGCAAATTACATATACCAAGAATGATCTGCCAGTTGGTTTGCTGTCTCTTTTTGATTCTAAAGAGTTGAATGGGTTACTAGACTGATTTGATCTGCTTTGTAACTACTGTTGTTTTAAAGAACAGAAGTTTTGCTGATTATGATTGTGAAGAATTAATGGAAAGCTATTTTCAGAAATGTCAAGGTTATGTACTACTTTTATTTTTGGTATTTTCATGTGTATAAAGTAATGCCACAGCCATTTATACATTTTTATCTTGTATTTGTCATTTGTGATTGGTTTTAATGATCTGTTCCTTTTTATTATTATTTTTAGCCAAATATATCACAACACACTCAATTGTTTGCTCTCTGTCTTGGCTGTTATTTTATTATTAGTTTTGTGATTGAGTTTGCTTTACCATTTGATTGGAAATACATCAAAGTTCAAATATTAAGTGATCCTGATGTCATTTTTTGCATTTTGAAATACTTTATTTTATCTCAGTTTTTCATGAAAATGCATCAACTTTCTTGAGCTCTTGAGTCATCGAGCTTTTTTTTTTCTCTTTTTTTCCCCTAATGCAACATTCCAGGTAATGTTGGAGCATAGAATGCTGCAAGGATAACATTTTTGTTGGCCATCCCAAAAGATAGCATCACCCTGGTTTCCTTGACAAAAAACAACAACAAATAGGATATGATTTTTTCCATTGGGTTTTGGATTATTGCAGAAAGTAACCACAAACAAAAGTTTGATTCTTAGAGGTTCATCAAAATAATCTTTATTTGTGGAAAAAAAAGTTATGAAAAGAATACAAATTGATGAGTTTTGAAGCTTAAAAACAATTTCCTTAAGTAAAAGGCTAAAGTTAGGTTATAAAAGGACAGAAAATTCAGTATAAACATGACAAGGCTGTAAAAGCATACTTTGTGAGTAACTTTAGATGAGTTTCCCTGTTCGACGTGATGTTTAATGTCCCCGGCAGCCTCTGTAGTTCCAATTAGACACTTATTAGCAACCACAAGCATAAGAAATATGCCAAGTGGTGTATTACTGATGTATTTTATGTCATAGAAGAATAAATAAAATGTTAAAATATCTTGAGCTTGACTGAAAATGGAACCGGAAGTGCAAATATACTCACTCGTTTCCAGGTTTCGGACTCATTCCTGCAGCACTGATTCTGATCGCAAATCATTCCAGTCATGATATTTTTATTATTTTCAAGAGTCTGGGCCGCAGCACAATATACATAAACAGCTATTTATTTGCATACCCCACTAGAAGTGTTTGGGAAACATGTTTGGACATTATTTTTGCAATTTTGTTTGGTGCTGCTACTAGTCTATTTGAAATTTGACACCTATGGGTAAATATTGCAGTGACATGTCACATGGCGTGCAGCCAGACAACTGTTGAATGCCGTTTCCTCATAAATGACTGTTAGCTGAGGTTTAGATCAAGGCTAGACAAAAAGGCACAGAAACCACTCACATTTCACTCATAGCAGAACAGCACAGCACAGCTTTATTTAACAATTCAGTTCACAGAGGTGTTAACAGGAGATCAGATCTATTCCACAAAAAAGGTGGACCTGAAGACACATGACAAATGACTTCAAGCTGTGTAACATCTTATCATGATTCCTAATTCATTCCCTAAATGACCATATAAACTTACTGGTAACCCATTAAATTACAGACTAAAATCAATTTTAAATAAAACTATGTTTATACAAATCAACAAACAGCATCCATAAAACAAAACTTCATAAATGACTCCTCTGTTTCTAACAAGCTCAACTGATTATTTTTTACAGGTTATTGCCTGTACACTTTGGGCCAACATCTCGAAAACGCTACTTTTCTGGCGGTCTGCCGACCTCAAACAAGCCCAAAACAAAGAACACGGAAAAAACGGAGTATAGGCACTTCTGTTTTTTTCCACTTTTTCAGGGGTTTTGTGGGTAAAAATTTCCCTTGCTGTTATTTTCCATCCCACTGTATTGCACAGCATCGGTTACTAAATCATTCACTTTCTTGATTTGTGGGTGCTTAAATATTTTTGTTGCTTTTTCATAGCATACTGAGACATTGGCCTGGTATTTCATGAATTCCTTGTTCAAACGAATCAATGTGCGATATTCTGCAATCACTTGTGAAGCGAAATGCTTTTCGATCGGTCATCTGCTTGGTGTCAATACGTTGTAAATGATTTGTCGATTGTTTCTCAAACAGTAGTTTACACAAAGCGACAAGAACGTAGAGAAGGCATCGTAGAGCTTGCTGTCGTTTAGTGAACTTCAACACTGAATTTCAAGATCAATGCGGTCGGGAGAAGGAAATGGGATAGGGAAGACAACATTGATGTTCTTCAATACTTTTCGGGTCTAAGATGAATGACAAGCTACGTAAGGGAGACCAGTTCAAACAAAGGTAATAAATAAAGCTGGAGGCTGAAAAAAACAAGCTCAGGGTTAATGAATAACTTTTGCTTCAGTGTTCCTTTCAATTCGTAGTTTAAAAAAAATTAGTAGATGCAGCTCATGGTTGAAGAATTGTAAGGGTTAGTTTCAGGTTAAGGTGCTGACTTCCTTCCAGTGTTAGAGTTGGGATCAGAATGGGGGAGCCCAGAGCATACGGATACTTTGTGTAGATTTCGCTTGAAGACTTCCGGATGTTTTAAGGGGATATTATGGACCATCTCAGTTAATTCAGGACTGAGAATGGGAAGATTTATTGGCGAAATAATTCTTCTGTTCATCCTGTTTCTTCTGTGTTCCTCTATCTCTTTGGGTGACACCTTGGTGCTTGCTGGCATAATGAAAATGAACAGAGGCTGAAAACATTGTTTACTTAAAAATAATACAGAATCCAGATACTGCCACATATGACAGAGTCCATCGTCCGTTCACTTTCTTCTACCCTGTCCATCAGAAGTCTTCCTTGAAAAATCTCTTTATGGCATCAGTGAGGGATTTTCCTCAATCTCTTTCTGTTATTCCCCTCTCTTTCGATCTCTTTTCGTATCCGTCTTGGGAGGTGAAAGGGTGAAGGGTAGGATTTTGGGAAGGAGAAGGTGTCGGTGGTCTCCCATTATGGAGTGTTGACAGGCCTTTAGTTCCCACAGCAGCTTCGAGTGGACTGTGCATCTGGGTCCTGTAGATTTACGCCCCTGTGTCGGGCAGCATGCGTGGGGTTTTGGGTGTCTGTTTTTGGCATCTTTTTTGCTATTGTTAAATGAAGAAGAAAAAAATTGAGAAATGAGCTTGAAAATCGAGATTAATATTGTAAATCTTTTGTTTAAAGTTGGCAGGAAATGAAAATTCACTATTTTCTAAATGATGTAATTGATTTTATTGCAAACGGTTCATCCATGCATACATTTATTTTGTTTTTTGTTTTTTTACTTTTTACAACAGACTTCTTTCTGTACCATATGCCGGACTTCTCCAATCATATAGAATCTGTTTAAATCCCGCCCGCAAGCTTGCAGATCTGCCAATCAATAACCATATAGTCCCCGCTGTTTAGACTAACAATCTGAAAATCTGGAAATGGGATGGTATGCCAGGAGAGTTTTAATTCTGCGTGTAAAGAAAAGACTAACAATATTAAGAATGTTCACTGATGTTCTTGAATTTATTGAAATCTAAAGTTTGTAGTCCCTTGTCACCACCTGAAATTTCGATTCCTTATTTGATGACACTTGTAGATAATACCACAGTTTTATTGTAGTAACAATAACAATGTGCAGAAGAGAATACACTACAGTTAGAAAACAACTTTAGCACTTACCAATGGCCAGGAACAACTCGTTTACATTCATTGCAGTCTTGGCAGAAGTTTCCATGAAAAGCAAGCCTGTGTCTTCTGCATATGTCTGAGCTTCCTGTTCAGAAATGTAAAATGAATGTCTGGGTTACTGCACACAAGACATTAGAGAAATAACCAACAGTTCAAATAATTATTTGGGCTGTCAAATGTGTATGACATAGTTATTGTGTACTAATAATACCGTTCAAATGTTTGAGGTCAGTAAGATTTCTTTTTTTTTTTTTTTTTTATATATGATTTAGCTAAGATGCATTACAATGATCAAGAGAGACAGTAAAGAGTCCTGAAAAAGAAGTATCATGGCTTCCAAAAAGATATTCAGCAGCACAACTGTTTTCAGTATTGCTGCTAATCATAAGAAATGTTTCTTGAGCACCAAATCAGCATATTAGACTGATTTCTGAAGGATCATGTGACACTAAAGACTGGAGTAATGATGCTGAGAATTCAGCTTTGACATCACAGGAATCAATTACATTTTAATATTTTATTCAAACAGAAAATTGTAATTATATTTCAAAATATTGCTGTTTTTACTGTATTTTTGATCAAATAAAAGCAGCCTTGGTGAGCATAAGAGACTTCTTTAAAAAAACAGCCCCAAACTTTTGAATTGCGGTGTATTTTTTTACACTAAAATTTGAAACGGTTTAATTATGTTCTGTGTGCTTCCTAAGTTCAAAATAAAAACAAGGGCACACCACAAACACAACAATCCCAGAGCTATTTATGAATCAAACCCAGAAGGGATTCTTTCAACATTTTTGCTACTTCATTGACAGGAACAACCCTAACAACACCTCCCATGTCTAGAAATAAAAGAGAGAAAGATATGACCTCATACTCCACAAGTCTCTTGTCTGCTAGGTCGGCCTTGTTTCCTGCAAGAGCAATGACGATGTTGGGACTGGCCTGCCGCTGCAGCTCTTTCACCCACGCCTTTGCTCGCTCAAATGTTTCCTACAAACAGATGGCTAAAGACTAAGCAACAAATCTACTATTTTACCAAATGAATGTTTGTATCCTTTGTATAAAGAGTGTACTGTTAACTTACAGGCTTGGTGATGTCAAACACTACAATGGCCGCCTGGGCTCCACGGTAGTACATGGGGGCCAAGCTGTGGTAGCGCTCCTGTCCAGCAGTGTCCCAAATCTCAAACTTCACTGTAGTGTCGTCCAGACAAACAGACTGTGCCAAGAAAGCAGCTGATGGTGGGCAACAAAAAAGATAAGTAATCTAAGCCAGAGATTCACGTATTAATAGTAGTTCCGTCTTGTTTTTTATTTTTGGTTCTTTGTTCTTTAATTCAAAGTTGTTATTGTTAAATAAAACTGTAACTAAAAATCATTCAACTGAAATCAAATCAAATATAAATATTAGAAAACTAACTAAAATTAGTTAAAGGTAAATAGAACTTTTAAATAAAAACACTAATAAAAAAATGACAAAAGCGCATAAAAGTACTAAAACACTACAAATTAACACTAAAACGAAGAAAAAATAAAAGGAAAACTGAAAATATAAAAATAAAGCTAATTCTAAATATTAATAATAGTATTATTATATAAATAATACTAAAATAACACTGGTTGTAGAATAGAAAACTTAAATTTAGTT